CAAGTACAAGGCCTGTTTGGGAGAGAGCGCGGTGGGATCTCCTGGAACTGCGTTAGTTCCCTTTTCGTTGGTGGCATGGCGGAAGTCGCGGACCCGTGAAATCATCATGGCCAAACGGCCTTCGGACAACAAGTTGCTGTGATCATTGGAGGCTGATCCATCACAGGCTAAGCCCACTGGCACATTGCTGTCCAAGAGCTTGCGGATGGGCGCAATGCCCGATGCCAAGCGCAGGTTGGAACTGGGACAATGGGCCACACCACATTGGCGCTCGGCAAAGACTTTGAGGTCAGCATCGTTAAGTTGTACACCATGCGCGAACCAGCAGTCACTGCGGTCCCATTCCACAGAGGCAATAAACTCGTTGGGCCTTTCGCCGTACTTAGAGAGAGAGAAGTCAATGTCGTTGGTGTTTTCGGCGAGGTGTGTATGGAGAAGGACCTTCTCATATTCACGAGCCAACCTGGCGGACTTGAGCATAAGCTCCTTGGTAACCGAAAAGGGTGAGCATGGTCCAAGAGCAATTCGGAGCATGCTGAACTTAGAGGTGTCATGATACGTCTCAATTAGCCGACGGCATTCCACCATGATGTCGTCTTCATTTTCGACACACTCATCGGGTGGCAGACCCCCTTTGGATTTTCCCAGGGACATGGATCCACGGACGGGGTGGAAGCGCAAGCCAGTGTCCAACACGGCGGCGATCTCATCGTCGAGGCGACATCCATTCGGCCAAACGTACGCATGATCGGAGGCAAGCGTACAACCGGACAGAATCAGCTCGCAGGCTGTTGCTTGACAGGCGGCCTTGAGCTGGGAAGGCGTCATGCACTGCCAAATGCCGTAGAGCGTCTGAAGCCAGCCAAACAACTCATTGGCCGGGGCGACGCCCCGGGTGATGGTCTGATAGAAATGGTGGTGTGTGTTGATGAACCCGGCCGTGGCAATCAGGATGTGCGAGCAGTCACGGGTGCCTCGATCAGCAGAATCCGCCAGTTCTTTCGGAAGCTTCTTCGTTTCACCAACCCATTCGATGATGTTTTCTTTGATAACGATAGCGGCATCATCAATGTCACCGAGGGTCTCGTCGCCCGTGGCCAGCGTGCCGATGTGTGTCAGGATAAGCCTTCCCTTGGGCGCCTCTGGGATCTTCACACTGGGATCCTTGGGGCCCCCCAGTCGGGGCTTCTTCGCCGGAGGATCCGACATGCGAACTGCAGATGGGTTCTGACTTCGATACTTAGGTAGTAAAGGACCCAAGATAGGACCCTTGCGGAGTAAGACTGGGCTCGTCAGTAGTAGTAGTGATGTGTACTGTTGTCGCTTCGGGTCCTGTTGCCCGAGCTATTCTGTGAATCTGCTTTCCTTGCTTCTGCAAATCCAAGCACATCTCTAAGGACTGCGGCAAGGCACGTGGAAAATTTGCGGAGAGTACCTTCCGGATAGTACCTTCATGTACCTTCCTGGCATATGCCAACCCACAGATTCCATGACCCCTGCTGGACCATGCTGGACCCAAAGCCCTTACCGAGCTACAGTCTGCAACACGTACTCTGTCCTTCGGCCTCTCCGCTATTCTAGGAATACCTGCCTCGAACACAGTTACACATGCTTGCATCATTGCGTTTGCGCTTGCTTTCAATCATCTACGGGACAGCAGAAAGCACAGTGTGCACCTGCATGATACCTTGGCACTCCTCGACTTTACCCCGCTGACTAGTCGTGACTAGTCGCAGGGGCCCAGCAACATCCCAAACAAGGCAGGTGCACACTGTGACGGAGGGTCTGTGGCTACCAGAGACGCAGCGTAGGACAGCTTTCCAAGCTCTTGGGTGCTGACACTGTGGGACAGAATGTGTAGGCATGGCGGATCCCCACGTCCCCAAGTGCAGGGGCCTCGTTGGCGGCACGAGTCTGACGTCGCTCTGCCTCTTCGAACACCTCACTGGTTCTATTACAGTAGTCTGAAGTCGTACTGTGCCAAGAGTATTGCTGCAGCTATCGATGCTGCTCATAATTCTCTCGGGTAAGGACTTTGTCTGAAGTAGCTCCAGTTTACCAGTAGATCATTCCTGGTTGAATTTCGGGGATGCGGCGAAGGTGAAAACGCACGTTTGGCTCTCAGTCTTCCCGAGGGCCCTGCCGACATGCGAAGAAAGTCGTTCTTCTTGACGAGAGCCTGATCACAATGCGTCTGAGCATCACCGAATCGCTATGCTTGCTGGATGCCTAGTGGTGATGGTAATGATGGTGATGGTGGTGATGGGGGTGATTCATGTTGGTGATGTCAGTCATGATAGTGATGATAGTCGGGGTAGTGGTGATAGTGACATGACGGGGATGAGGAGGACAAGGATGTTTTGCAGGTAATGGCGACATTGAGAAGCAGTGAAGATGATATCTCGCAAGAGCAAGGCCAGCAAAGCGCACAGGATCAGGCCTCGAAGCTTTCCCAAAACTCCGAGAACGTCACCTGCTGGCATGGCCGTTGGCATGTCACAGAGTGCACTTGTCCTGCTAGCTTGCTCACGAGTGATCTGAGGATCATTGGTACTCGGATGTTCTGATAAGCCTCCCTTATTGCGTTGTAATTATCATTGAGACTACAGATCTCACTTCATGTGATCCTTCATGATTTTGTTGTTGCACATGTTTGCAACTGTCTTAAACTACTACGGCGACGACGACGTCGACGACGACTACTACTGCTGATGGTGTTCAGCGCGTTCGTGCCAGTCTCGGTTTTCTCTCGTTTAAGAAAAACTTTGCAAAGCTCTTCATGATCATAGTCAAGCTGTGCAGTGAGGTACGTTGTCCTTGTAGGACAACTGTACTGGTACTGGTAGTGGTGGTGGCCGTGGTAGCAGTCATGGCAGTGGTAGCAGCAGCTAGGAGCAGCAGCCATGCCAGTGCCAGGACTGTAGTTCAAGTAGTACTACTGTAGTACGAGTACCAGTTCTGGTGGCGGTATTAGTGGCAATTGTACTCGTTCTGGTCCTCCTACCACACATGGACGAGCATGGTGATGACGACAACTTCTCCTGTTCCTTACTGGTGCTTGGTAGGGCAGTCGTAGTCCTTATGAAGGGCTCTTCAAAGGAAATATAGGGGTCCTTAAAAGGCCCTTTTAAAGGGATCTATAGACCTACGAGGACAGGTGAGCCTTGTCTGGGTTCTCAGCCTTGATGTCCGCCAGCTCTGTGCGCCTCCAAGGCTGACAAGCGGAAAATTCCGTCTCCTTCCCTCCCCCCCAACACCCGAAACACTACCGAAGACGTCTTGAAATCAGGTGGTATTCACTACTACTACTACTACTACTACTACTACTACTACTACTACTACTACTACTACTACTACTACTACTACTACTACTACTACTACTACTACTACTACTACTACTTCGACTACGACTACTACTACTACTACTACTACGACTACTACTACTACTACTACTACTACTACTACTACTACTACTACTACTACTACTACTACTACTACTACTGCCACTGCCACTGCCACTGCCACTGCCACTGCCACTGCTACTGCTACTGCTACTGCTACTGCGACTGCGACTGCGACTACGACGACGGCGACGACGACTACTACTACTACTACTACTCGGAAGGCGATCTAGGAGATCACGATGATGGGACAACTGGAGCTGTTCTCTCGGTGGCTTCTCCACCGAGCGAAAGCTCCTTGTTGCAGGCAGTTCAGAATGCCGATTCTCGTTCAGGCATGTTTTACGATTCGGATGTTACGACGGCGAAGACCACACAGATCGATTTGCTTGCTTTAGATTGAGAGGGTCACCAAACGAGTGACGAGACCCAGAACTCTGGAGCCTCCGTGCGGTCTCACAGTGGTCGCATGCCTCTGCCCTCTCGCAGACATCTTTCTCGGTGCGCGTTCTGAATGAATACTACTACTACTACTACTACTACTACTACTACTACTACTACTACTACTACTACTACTACTACTACTACTACTACTACTACTACTACTACTGCTACTACTGTGGACGCCAGAAAGTTGGAACATGGATTTAGGATGATTAGTGCTAGGATCCCTTATACTTTATACTAGGGGCATGAGGATAATCATGTTCCAACTTTCTGGCTTCTACTGTACTACTAATGGCTACTGCTACTGCTACTGCTACTGCTACTGCTACTGCTGCTACTGCTACTGCTACTGCTGCTGCTGCTGCTCCTACTACTACTACTACTACTACTACTACTACTACTACTACTACTACTACTACTACTACTACTACTACTACTTTGTCGGGGCTTGCCCCAGCTGAGGACCTGCCTGGCCTGACGAACTCACCCTCAAGCTTCCAGGCAGCGTCGAGTTTCTGCAGACCAAGGAAGATGCCACGGGTACTTGGAGGATCATGGGACTTAGTAAGGTTATAAGTAGCTTCATTGGGGTTATAGGTATAGTTACCCTCATTTTAACCCTAGTTACTAAGTCCCATGATCCTTTAAGTACAGGTCTAGATCCTTCCAGAAGTTACTCACCCTTTTGAATCTGTCAGAGGCGCCGTCACAATGCTTCGGGCTTTAGGACCCTAGATCTTTTAGCCTGCAGGGCTTCAAGGATTTCACGGTATTTGGGGGTGATGTGAGCTTGCGGGATAGGCTTGCTCCATGGGCCTGAGAGTGTAAGGCTGAAAGGGTTGTACAAGTAGCAGTTTACCAGCTTTAAAATTATAGTGTTAGAATGATGATAGTATTATGATAATTAGATTACGTACAGATCCTGTCAGACTTGGAGTTCGACTTGTCAGAGGAGCGCATGAAAGATTGTGTGCAATGTGCAGATTAAACTCGTTGCCTAGGCCTTAGGCTTCGCTTTGAGTTCGGCTGAACTGGAGTGGGAACTTCGGAATGAAAACAAGCCAGATGCGACAACATCACAGCCACTATGCAGGTGTTTGACAATGCAGATCACTCGTTTGCATCGCAATCAGAAGTCATGCCATTGGCAAGTCACCGGCTGCAGCATAGATCTCGCACAGCTTGCTGCCAAAAGGCCATCCACCAGTCGGAAACAGCTGTGGAATTGGGACGAGAACGGGGACGGTCAAACTTGTCGTGGATTCGACTCCAAGCTGCCTCGGGCAGGCTGCGGTGATCGCCGCTGCAGTTGGCTCTGACGGGTGTGACATCAACATCATCTGTAGACGACAAGCAGGGGGCACTGTCTGCATGGAAGCTGGCATGGATGCGACTCCAAGCTGCCTCGGGCAGGCTGCGGTGATCGCCGCTGCAGTTGGCTCTGACGGGTGTGACATCAACATCATCTGGAGACGACAAGCAGGGGGCACTGTCTGCATGGAAGCTGGCATGGATGCGACTCCAAGCTGCCTCGGGCAGGCTGCGGTGATCGCCGCTGCAGTTGGCTCTGACGGGTGTGACATCAACATCATCTGTAGACGACAAGCAGGGGGCACTGTCTGCATGGAAGCTGGCATGGATGCGACTCCAAGCTGCCTCGGGCAGGCTGCGGTGATCGCCGCTGCAGTTGGCTCTGACGGGTGTGACATCAACATCATCTGGAGACGACAAGCAGGGGGCACTGTCTGCATGGAAGCTGGCATGGATGCGACTCCAAGCTGCCTCGGGCAGGCTGCGGTGATCGCCGCTGCAGTTGGCTCTGACGGGTGTCAACATCATCTGGCACTGTCTGCATGGAAGCTGGCAATGCAAGCTGCTCGGGCAGGCTGCGGTGATCGCCGCTGCAGTTGGCTCTGACGGGTGTGACATCAACATCATCTGTAGACGACAAGCAGGGGGCACTGTCTGCATGGAAGCTGGCATGGATGCGACTCCAAGCTGCCTCGGGCAGGCTGCGGTGATCGCCGCTGCAGTTGGCTCTGACGGGTGTGACATCAACATCATCTGTAGACGACAAGCAGGGGGCACTGTCTGCATGGAAGCTGGCATGGATGCGACTCCAAGCTGCCTCGGGCAGGCTGCGGTGATCGCCGCTGCAGTTGGCTCTGACGGGTGTGACATCAACATCATCTGGAGACGACAAGCAGGGGGCACTGTCTGCATGGAAGCTGGCATGGATGCGACTCCAAGCTGCCACGGGCAGGCTGCGGTGATCGCCGCTGCAGTTGGCTCTGACGGGTGTGACATCAACATCATCTGTAGACGACAAGCAGGGGGCACTGTCTGCATGGAAGCTGGCATGGATGCGACTCCAAGCTGCCTCGGGCAGGCTGCGGTGATCGCCGCTGCAGTTGGCTCTGACGGGTGTGACATCAACATCATCTGTAGACGACAAGCAGGGGGCACTGTCTGCATGGAAGCTGGCATGGATGCGACTCCAAGCTGCCTCGGGCAGGCTGCGGTGATCGCCGCTGCAGTTGGCTCTGACGGGTGTGACATCAACATCATCTGTAGACGACAAGCAGGGGGCACTGTCTGCATGGAAGCTGGCATGGATGCGACTCCAAGCTGCCTCGGGCAGGCTGCGGTGATCGCCGCTGCAGTTGGCTCTGACGGGTGTGACATCAACATCATCTGTAACGACAAGCAGGGGGCACTGTCTGCATGGAAGCTGGCTGGATGCGACTCCAAGCTGCCTCGGCGGCTGCGTGATCGCGCTGCCGTTGCTCTACGGTGACATCAACATCATCTGGAGACGACAAGCAGGGGGCACTGTCTGCATGGAAGCTGCATGGATGCGGACGCCAAGCTGCCTCGGCATGCTGCGGGGATCGCACGCTGCAGTTGGCTCTGACGGGTGTGACATCAACATCATCTGTAGACGACAAGCAGGGGGCACTGTCTGCATTGAAGCTGGCATGGATGCGACTCCAAGCTGCCTCGGGCAGGCTGCGGTGATCGCCGCTGCAGTTGGCTCTGAAGGGTGTGACATCAACATCATCTGGAGACGACAAGCAGGGGGCACTGTCTGCATGGAAGCTGGCATGGATGCGACTCCAAGCTGCCTCGGGCAGGCTGCGGTGATCGCCGCTGCAGTTGGCTCTGACGGGTGTGACATCAACATCATCTGTAGACGACAAGCAGGGGGCACTGTCTGCATTGAAGCTGGCATGGATTCGACTCCAAGCTGCCTCAGGCAATCTGCGGTGATCGCCGCTGCAGTCGGCTCTGCCCCTGCTGACTTCCGCATGCTGCACTGGAGAATGCGACGACGGGACAGCTTGCCCCTGAAATCTGTTCCGGATACTCTTCCACGTGTCCTGGATCCTCTTCCATGCTGACTTGCGCAAACTTCCTTGCTCGAGGCTGCGGGCGGGTCTGCCTTTGATGGCTTCGCCATCTTGAAACTGTGAGCAGTGGACAGGCTGAACCCGAAACCTCTCGTGGATGCGCAGCCAAGCTGTCTCAGGCAGGCTGCGATGATCGCCGATCCATTCGGCTCTGCATGGGATGGTTTCAACATCTGGACTCTGTGACTTTGGAGACAAGAAGCTAGGGGCAATTTCTGCCTGAAACCTGTCATGGATCCGCTTCCACGCCGACTCAGGCAAACTGCGGTGATCCCCTGCAGAACTGCCTGCGGCTTTCTTGCCAAGGCGCGCAGAGGCAAGTCTGGCATTGCTTTTCCTTGGTCCCCATGAAACAAGAGGATGCTTTGTCTCATTGGCTCCGCTGGATTTACATTACCCAAAGGATCCCCGATATACCGAGCTTCTCCCACGGTTCTGGTCCTGGTGGTGGCTCTGAAGCTTTGGGCACCCTCTTCACGGGAGGTCGGAAGGACCAGGGATCCTCCTTAAGCACCTGGGTTCTTGAAAAGGAATTAACCCAAGTTACCATTATAAGGAAACCAGATTATTTATCATGGCAATCTAAATTAGATCACTTAACCCCTAAAACCTTATCGATCCATCAATGGAACCCGAAGTTATGATAACTTAGAAAATCCTTAACAAGAACATAGGCACCGGTTCGGAGTTCCTCCTCAAGGTGACCCATCCGACCAGGCCGGTAAGTCCATATTCCACGTGCGCTGACTTGGTACACACCTTGGGTTTAGGGGTTTAGGGTTTGGGGGTTTTGGATGGTTTAGGGTCTAGGGCTTAGGGAGTACATCTTGGGGAGTACCCTGAAGGGTCCTAGGTACTTTTCATGGGGGATACTTCCTCAAGTCACAAGGGTAATTCTTAATATTGAAACCCTACATTCTACCATAATTCCTTCTGTAGAAACCCTACATTCTACGATTACTGTGTAAACCCTGCATTTTACGAACTAGGTATCTTGGACCCTTTGAGTACATGAACCAAAGAGTCCAGGTCCGGTCCCCTTATATAGAAATTATCATACTCTCTTAAAGGGTCCAAAGTACCGAGGGCTTCTACAGTAATAGTAGAATGTAGGGTTTCTATAGAAGGAATTATGGTAGAATTTAGGGTTTCTGAGGCATTATAGTATAAGTTGAGGAAGTATCTACCATAGCAGACCTTACATCCAAGTTCGTGTTTAGGGTACATGGGTATTATCAGGGCAGATGTAACATAGACCGTTTTCGGGTTCATGAAAGTTAGGGGTGTAGGGCTTATGTTTATATAGGGTTTTAAGGTTAGGGTTTAGGGCTCAATGCCATAAATCCTTAGGCATTACAGTTACAAAGGCCCGTGCAATCGTCCCCAAAGCACCTCGTGGATGGTCACGAACATGCCCTCCCGTAGGAGCCCCAGAATCTCGGACTCTTTGCATTTGGCAGCTCGTACCTTCAGGATCAAGTGAAATCCCAAACAGCGCGCGGGTCATATCTCCCATATCGTGGACATGCTGTACAGAGTCGCCCATGTAGAGAACATGGTCTACATAGTGCATAGTGTAGAATTTTATAAAGCCCCCAAACCCCAAACCCTAAACCCCTAAACCCCTGAATCCTAAACCCCTAAACCCCTGGACCCTAAGTTTTCTACGGGCTAGTTCTTCCCTGAGGCACCTTCACCTCCTGCAAGACTTTGGCTCTCCCCGGACGCAGCAACGGCTCCTGCCAAGAACTTCAGCGACGCTACAGCTCAGGGTTTGGGCTTTACGGGGTTAAGGGTTTAGGTTTAGGGTCCAGGGATACATAAACATTATCACATGCACCTGCCTAGAGCCATAGTAGAACGTAGGGTTTTCTGTACCAGGAATGAGTATGATGAGTAGAGAGAGTATCACAGTACCTAGGACCCTTATCGACGGTGCTTTGTGGGCTGTCCTCCGGGGGAAGCTTCTCTTGGACTTTCGCCTTTCCCACGCTGCGCCGGCCGAGCAACCGTGGATCGTCCGCATCGGCGCGGCAAACGGCCGCATGCAGCGTTGCGGGATCCATGGCCGCTCGGCGCGCAGCTGACAACGAGAAGGAGCCACCGAGCCCGGATTCAGTCTATAGGTGGGCTATCAGAAGGCCTTGAGGCTGCGGGAGCCGTGTGGTATGGCAGTCGTTCATACTGCCACTTGAACGTGGTCGGCCCAACTCTCATTTCGGAAGTGCCTGAAACCTTGACAATGCCCGCATGCATCGCCTCGATCACTCGCGGGGTCTGCGCCATGGGCATGTGCTCGTGGTCCTTCACAAATTTTCTGCCCTAAACATTGAGACAACTGTACCCTGGTGGCGTCTCAGCGCAGCAACCGCACAATCCCCCAAGGAGTAGGCTCCTGTCGCAACCCCTCACACCAGTGGCCCTCAGCCCTGAACCCTGAAACCCCAAGCCCTTCTTGTCTTTGTCAACTCAAGCTCCAAGCAAGTGCCGCATCGCCTCTGCGAGAACAGTCCAGGCCGTTTCGAACTCCTCCTGTTTTCGAAGGAGATTCCGCCGGCCCTTCTCCACCTTCGAGACGTCTGTGCTCTGGTGAGGGCTCTGTTGTTTGCATTCATTGATACTATGTGCAATAGATCTATATCTATATAGATATATATATATATGTGTGTACTAAGGTATATGTCTACATATGTACAGTACATATATATATATACACACCTACATACATATTATGTACATGTGTGTATCTCCGTCATATGTGTATATGTGATCCTCCTTATGTTGACACCATTACTCTCCATCGTCATCGCCTGCCAAACATCATCAGTACAGCCATGCTTCATTTCGCCCATGCCTAAACCCCAAACCCTAAGCCCCCAAATAAACCTGGAAACCCTAAACCCTAAACCCCTAAAGCCTAAAAACCCTACACCCTAAACCTCCGCCTGGGCGAGCTCTCGGATCTTCTCGTACCTGGCGCCCGAAGATGGCTCCATGGGTTTTGGCATTCCTCTCGAGGCTCTTTTTTCAGGTGTTGGTTTTGTTTGACACCTCTTTTCCGTCTGCAAGGATTCCGGCTTCAGGGATCAAGAGCCTTGCAAACTTTTTGGAAAGGTTCCACAAGGATTCTGCAAGGAATCCTTGAAGGCCCATGCCGACTCCGTTCAGCCTAGGCCATCGTCGAGTCAGAGCAGTCACACTGTCTCTCTCGCTCTCTCTCGCTCGCTCTTGGTATCCGCCACCATGGCGGCTGCCTTCTGCAGAAACAGTGCTCTGTGGTGGTTGAGAAATCTGCAAAGCGAACCCGGAAGGACAGATCCAAGTTCGGGGCTTGGAGATTGAGCCTTCTACCAGTTTGGGAAGCCTCTTCTATGAGCATTGTGTCCTGGGCAGTAAGCTGTAGGCAGGCCGGCGGGGGAGCTGTAGCGAAGCTCAAACTGCTGAAACGGAGCTGTAACGGAGCTGTATCCGTAACTGAGCTGTAACGGAATCTGCAACGAGCTACGAAGCTTGAACCCACAGATGCGTTGCAACATACCATATACAACCGACAAAAACATCTGACAAAAAAGAACATAGTAACTCATGGTAGAGAGCACACGTAAAGCAAGTCCTAACCCATTCAACCAGAACGCTGTTTACTTGGTGAAGCCATGATCGGAGTGTCAAGACATGCCCAGGGCACGTCCCGGTGCGATGGTCGTGGATGCGGCCCGGGTGATTCCGAAGAAGGTACTGTGCCAGCCTTGGTCGTGGTCAGATGAGATCCAGTGCCCTCTAAGATGGGAGGCTCAGGAAGGCCCCTATATTATAGAACCCTACTATAGATCCCTTACAGAACCCCTTAAAGATCCCCTTAAAGGAACCTTATTTTAATTCTTAAGGCCCCTATATTACAACCAAAGACCGTAAATCCGTCCAGCTCAGGCCCCCGACCAGACCAAGGGATTGAACTTCTGCTTGCTGCTGCCCATGGTGGTGCCCTGGGCGACCTTGTCCACATGCCTGAGCTCAGGGTCACTTCTTGGCATTGCCATCCCACTGTTACCTGGAGGTTCATGGGTAGTTATAAGTGGGATTATATAAGTAGGGTTGCATAAGGCTTGCAATGACTTGCTATGCTCATGTGTCATCTACCATATCCCCAATGTATATAGTTACAAGTGGGGTCTTAAGTAGGGCAACCATTATTTTAGCCCATCTTAGGGGACTTATGACCCCACTTGTAACGACCCATGGACCTCCAAGTAGGCCCTAAACCCTATAACCTTATAGAATCCCTATGGATCGCTTTAAAGGGACCCGTAAAGGAACCCTTATAACCACCTATGAACCTCCAAGTACTCTTCCGAGAGCTCCGAGACCGGTGCTTGCTAAGGGCATCCAGCCCCTGCAGGAGCAGAGGCATCACCTGCGGTGAGGCGGTCAGAAGGAATCATAGTAAGGGGCCTTAATAATTAAGATAAGGTTGCTTTAAAGGGATTTTAAGGGGTTCTGTAGGGATCTATAGTAGGGTTCTATAATGTAGGGGCCTTAAATAAAAAAGAAGAGTGCGTTGAGGCCCAAAACATTATACTTATAATATGGAACCCCCAAAATAGTATAGGTAATTATGAATTAAATTAAGGCCCCCTATAATGAGATTCTCTTTGGGACGTCTGGGCTGCGGACGCCCTTCTCCATCAGGTAGACATCGAAGTCGCCATCCGCCTGCTCGGTTCCGACAACAGAGCCGAGCGCTTTCTGTAGGGCATCTTCCTAAACCCTAAACCCTGAACCCTAAACTCTGAACCATAAACCCAAAACGTTGAACCCTAAAACCTAAACCCTGAACCCTAAACCTCTTGGCAGAGCCCTGCAAAGCTGAAGGCGCTCCTCCGCCATCGGAAGCAGCATCTGCGAGAAGAAGCCATCATCGATCTTCAGGTCTCGAAACACCTCGCAAAAACAAGGAAACTGCGAAGAATCCCCAATGACACCAGACAGACAACAGGAAGTGCTGGCTGACGACACTCCTCGCGGCTTCCGATGAGTCAGCACTCAGCGCCTGCTGTTGGGTGCGAGACACAGTATGCGACATCAGGACGGCGCTTTGCCTCGGCTCACTGCTGCAGCTGACACTGACGGCGTTGAACGCGCATATATCTATGTATACGCACATTGACACATGTATGTATGCCATTGCGTATATATGCATGTACTTGTATGCGTGTATATATACATATATTCATATGTACATGTATGTATATGTATATGTATATGTATGTGTATATGTATAAGTATGTGATTGTGTATATGTATATGTACATGTATATGTATATGTATACGTATATGTATACGTATATGTATATGTATATGTGTATGTGTATGTGTATGTGTATATGTATGTGTATATGTATATGTATATGTGTATATGTATATGTATATGTATATGTATGCATGTATATGTCTGTATGTATATGTATATGTATATGTATATGTATATGTATGTGTATATGTATATGTATATGTATATGTACGTGTACGTGTACGTGTACGTGTATGTGTATATGTATATGTATATGTATATGTACATGTATATGTATATGTATATATATATATGTATATGTCTGTAATGCCCGTATGCATGCATGCATATGTGCGCGTCTGTGCGTGTACATATATGTAACTCTGTATACATGCTTACCTTATCCTACCCGTCCTAGTCCAGTCCCGTGGATTCGAGTCTAGTCTAGCATAATATAACGCAGTGTAGTAGACTAGAGTACAGTATCGTACAGTACATTAACATGTACACATCTGGGCTGTTCTTGTTGCATCTTGCTTGCACTACCATTGCTTAGGTTGAGACACCCAACCTTCTTATTAAGTCGTTCTGTACTGGTTCTGTTTCCGTATCATGGTTCTCTTCTTCCTCTTCCTGCAACAGCTGAAGCTACAAAGAGCTGTCATGAAGAAGGTCCGACTGTCATTAATCGTGCAAGCGTAGGCGAGTTGGAAGCTACAGGTCCGCAATTATCTAGCCGTTGAGCCCCTCCCTGTACGCATGTAACATAACGGTGAAACGTCGGTGGTTTGACCCTAAGCCCCAAACCCTTCTTGTTCAGCTGCATGTGCCGGAGATTTCCAAGTGCCGGAGAAAGCCAATTCTCCCAAAGTCTGTAAGAAGGGCTCTTGCAAGGGGTGCTAGTAGGGCTACTTTCAGGGCTACTATGAAGGTTATTGTAAGTGCGATTCGTGAGGGTTACTATGTAGGTTATTGTGAGTATCGGCAAACTGCCCGCTCTGAGTGCCAGGCGTTGAATGCCGTAGCGTCGGATCGGGTAGCTGAAAACCTCGACCCTGAAATTTTCTCTCTCTGGGGCTGGGGGTGGAAGGTGGATTCGGAACGTGATGCTAAAAGCTACGTCCTTGATAAACGAACCGATCACTACACGCCTTCCACATGTGCTGTCTGCTACCTTCTGCATCGACCTGCGACGATGACTGTTTTGGTCAGGTGTGTGACATGCGTAGCTTGTCATACTGTGCAACTTGCTTACTATGCTTTGTACAAACAATCAGCACTGAAAGTTCTCCTGAACAGCCCGAGCCGTCGAAACCGTTCAATTTCAGTTTGATTTGCATGACACCAGTCTGATGCTTTTCCCGGCAAGGCACAACTGCCTTTGAAGCAGCACATCCCACAGCAGCGACACGTGCACTCCTGTGATATGTTTCCTGCAACTTGCACGTCCGGTCTGCACTGGATAAGAGCCGCGCTCAGCTTTACGGACTCCACACGTGCCCCACGTCACAACTTACATCTTCGCGTACACATGAAGGTCTGGGTCTGAATCCCTGGACTATGTGCTAGGACAGGGTAGGACACTGGGTGAATTCTCTCCGCAGGTGAGACTCCTGCCAGGTCTCTGCGACCTACCTCAGCTCGTCCCCTGTAGCGCTTGACGCTCTTCGGGACAAGCAGCAAAGATTCAAGGTGAAACATTCTCGTTCCTGCTATATCTTATATTTGACACGCACACCTCGCTACCTTCCAATACGAGACGTGGAAAGCCTGCACTCCTGGAATTGTTCTACCAGCCGTATAAAACACGACACTGTCACGCTCGAGTGGCCAGAATATTTCAGGCTCGATTGGCTGTGACCTCAGGCAGATGCAGTTCGCAGTTCAAGATGCCCCTGCTTCACAGGCAGTCGGACAAAAAGCATGCTGAGCTCAGTAGAATTCTGAAGCTTTAGTATAGGGGCCTTAATAATTAGAGTAGGGTTTTGGGCCCATTATACTGTGCTTGCAATAAGGAAACACCCAGAACAGTAGAGGTAATTATCAAGGCCCCTATAGTAGGTGCTCCAGCTCAGATCCATGGATTCCAGGGCTCCGGCGGTAGTGTAAATGTGCCCGCCCTTTTTTCGGAAGAGGTTGATCTCTGCCTGACAAAGGTTTGCGGGACTTCTCGGAACATTTCTGGAAAGCACGTGACATGCTGATATCAGCTGGTCTGGCGCAGTCGATAAGATCCCGATCTCGGTCTAGTAGCTGGCTATGCAAGACCAGCACGTTTGCCAAATCTGGTGGCATGGTTCACTACATGACAGCCTGGCCTGCAAAGTCGCAATCTCTTTCGTTTGCAGCGCAAGAAGATCTTTGCATCTTTCGCGCTCCTGGGCGGCGAGTCTAGGATGTTTCATGCACATTCATACTGCTGTGTTTAGCACTCACGTTATTATTACTGATCCTGTCCCTTGACGCTAGGCACGCTGCCATACGTCGAAGTTCATTCAACGGCTCATTGTCGTTCACCGTGACCTCAAGCGTGGTTCATGCTAACACGCAAAGCGCTGTCTCTGCTATGACGGCCCGATTCATCTGGGCGAGTCGGAGACCATCGCTGGGGCTGCGGCATTTGCTATTCTCGCATTTAGCGCTGCGTCCAGCTGCATCTGCGAGTAGCCTTGGGGCTGCACTTGCACCCTTGAATGGGCATGTTGGAACCTCGGATCCTACTTAGCGACAAGCTCGAAGCGCCTTAAGCTCAAAAAACCTGCGTAGCTGAGACCCTTGCCCATGCTGACAATCTGTTCCATGAGCGACGTATTGTCGCACGTGATCTTCGTCAGCTCCTTCTTCTGCTTCTCTATCCTCCCGACTGAATCATGCTTCTGGCATGCAGGTTTCCTGATCTTTCTCAGGTGCCAGCATAGTAACCCACAGTAGTTCATAATCTTCATGCTAGCCCCAAGTTTAACTAACCCTTGTCTTATAGTCCTCCTGTACGATAGCATTCTAGCCGGGGGAGCTCGTCACTCCGCAGAGGTCCTTGATGTATCCGGAAGCCCTAAACCCTAAACCCCGAACTTTAACACCTAAACCCTAAACCCTAAACCCCTAAACCCTAAACCCTACATACACTGTTTCTAAACGGCACTGTACGTTGAGGCGGTCGGGGGCTTTAGGTTCCTAGGGGCCACGGGCTTACTGAAGGTTTTAGCGCTCCCCCGGATATCGGGGCAATCAAGTTCTATAAAAAGGAAGGGGAACCTACTAAGAAGTGCAACTACGGAGAAAGACTTTAAGCTCCTACTTTGCAGCATGGAGGCATCAAACGGCAAACTCCAGAGCTCTCCGAGCACGTGCATCCATGAGCCTCTGAAGTGCTCGAAGTCTTGCAACGAGGGAACACCACTGCCGCATCTCTATTATCTAAAAGTTAAGGTTTAGGGTTTAGGGTTTAGGGCTTAAGATCAAAAAGGCTTTTGATTTGAACAGGGTTTGGTATTTGGGACCGCTGCATGGCGCCGCACTGGCCGCCGCAGACAGATGTGCTACTTTTCCAGGTACTACCCCTGACTGCTAAACCTGAAACCCTGAACCCTAAACCCCAAACCTTAAACCCTAAACCCTAAACCCCGAACTTTAAAGCCTAAACCCTAAAACCTCACCCACCTCTTCTCCCAGTCGGCGATGCGGCGCCGGTGCTCCGCCTCGGCCTGGAGCACGCTCTGCTGGAGCTCCTCGGTGGTAAGTAGAAGCGGGCAGCGGTTCATACGAGCTAGTTAGTAGCTAGTACTCAAGTGGTGACTGAATTGACTCCTAACACAGGAACTACCTAATACCAACCATAATCATGACATATTCAGACGAATGCTTATGACTAACATACGACTTATGACTCCCTCTGTGGCCGTGGCCACTGGGAAAGCCAGTCCTGAAGTAGCTTACCCGGAGCGCTTCGCTCGATGAGATCCAAATCGACAATCTGTCCGAACTTGAGCATCTGGATGTCCTCCCGGCACTGGAAAAGGAGTACCTTATTTTGGGGTCCTTATAATAAGGATCCTATGGGAGTTTAGGGGTACCTTATTTTGGGGCCCTCATAATAAGGATCCTACTACTCTAGGGTACGATATGAGGGTCCCTTGTTTTTATTGTCCCCCCGAGCTGTGGCTTCACAACTCATCGATGCTTGGCTCCGTGATTTTGGGACGGCTGCATCCAAGAACAGCAGTCGGGCCTCCCCTGCGAACTGAGAGTAATACAAGGGGCCTTGATGATTACCCATACTAGTTTGGGGGTTACTTATGATAATTATAGCAGAACGGGCCCCAAAGCCCTATCCTAATCATTAAGGCCCCTATATTAGACTCACCAAACCCCCGTCCGGTCCTGGAACTTTGCATGGAGATCCTGCGGAGATGTCACACTTCTACTGCTAGCCGTGGCGTGCCATGGAGAAGATCCACACTGCGAAGTCAGCCCCGCTTCATCCCTCAACCGATGTCTTTTGTACATACCCACCTTGGTTGAGCTGCTGACCCTCATGGACCAGAGATGAAGCAACTGGTTGAGCCCTGAGCTTCAACTAAGTCTCCGAGACAATCCTGGATGTGCTGCAAGGCCACGCTCTTGTCTTTCTTGCGAACGCGGAAGTCACGCTGAAGCCTGGGGCGGTCGACTCAAGCAACCCCAAGCTTAGCTGAAGTTGCGACATCATTGCCGATGGCAAGCCATAAACTGAGGCTCTGGCTGCTTGTGTCTTGCTTTGACCTGGTCAGAACTTGAGGCACAAGCAGATGCGAAGCAGAAACGGACCTTCCCCATAGGTCCCTCGGCAGTGCAAGGATACGTGGCCGTGATCACAACCATTGCGATGACGAAACTGATGATGACACTGCTGGTAATGTTGGCGATGGCCATTGTGGTCTCGACTATTGTGTTGATGATGACGACGATGATGATGATGACAGCGATGGTGAAGATGAAAGTGAGGTAAATAAATACACTGGTCATACTAATAATACTAACATTGATCATACCAATAATACTAATAATGAAAACAATGCTCATAGCAATACGAAAAGTTAGAGCAATAAACATGACACTTCTAGTAATTGTGGCGGGGGTGGCGGTGGGAAGGAAGAGCTTACTACTGCAGTAACCCTCACTCTAACCCTAAACCCTAGGCCCTGAACCCTAAACCCAAAGCTCTAAACCCCAAACCCTAAACCCAAAGCCCTTAGCCGCTTAGCCCCAAACCCTCAGCCCTAAACCCTAAACCCTGAGCCCTGATCGTATCCCTTTCAGATCCCACCCCCCCCCCCCCCCCCATTGCCTCCTTGATCTCCTGGTGGAGCTCTGTGATGCGAGTCATCAGGCGGTCCAGGCCCTGGCCCAGAAAATGGCTACAAGAAGACTGAGTTTGATATTCATAATAGCAATACTACTAACAATAATGATAGCAAGAATAATGATAGTGATCGTAATTACGATAATACTAATGCTTCTTCTCACAATAATAATAATAATAATAATACTAACAGGAATGATAGTAATAATAATGATAGTAATAGCAATGAAAATATAGTACTGCTACTACAATAATAATAATAATACTAACAGGAATGATAGTAATAATAATGATAGTAATAGCAATGAAAATATAGTACTGCTACTACGTATAATAATGATGCAAAAAACAGCCGTCTACCCTGCAAGGGCTAGCCAAATCATAGCGGTCGCGACGACGCAGACTCACCATGTTCAGAGTTACGACTTGACAGAGATATCATACCTGGCGGGCCTCATTTGTGAAGATCACCTGCTGAGCTAGCTCGGCTGGGAGACGCTCCTGCCTGGCCAAGAAGCGATCTGAGAACTGGACAACTTCGATGCCGCGAAACCATAGATACATGTGCTCCTTTGCTTCTTTGTTGAGTTCAGTTTTAAAAATCTTGCATTCGGAGTACGCTGAGCGCGTTTGGCATGTCACACGGCTGGGGTAGCTGCCCGTCGCTCTGGTCTGCAGATGATAAGCACTGAACCTGGCATCAGGCATACACGACAGACGTCAGCTTCGACCTGTCTCGAGGCAGCAAAAAAACGGCAAGGCCTGCAAGCTTGGTGACTGATGATACTGCTCATGGAGCTGCATTCTGCAAACTGAGATGTCAAAACCACTTGATTCTGCGTGCACCAGTCGTCAAATTAGGTAACCTGAAGTTCCAAGAAGAACACTATGCGGACTGTGCATCAATTCCTTCCGATCGCCTGCGACAGTCGCAAGGCGAACACGATGGGCACCTGACACGGCGAGTCTAGAGTTGCTCACACTCAGACTCATAAGATGTGTTGGCAGTGTCGAGTGGTACATGCACGAACCGAACACAACTGCGCAGCTCAAAGCTGCTGGCTGCTGACTGAAGACAATGCGACACAAGGCATCCAAAAAGGAGTAGCGTCCGGCTGCTGCTGGTCACATTAAAGTGGCAGTAGCAGCAGCAGCAGCAGCGGTAGTGGCAATAGTACATGCTAGTAGTAGCAGTAGTAGCAGTAGCAGTAGCAGTAGCAGTAGCAGTAGTAATAATATTAATAACAGCAGCAGTAGCAGTAGCAGTAGCGGTAACCGCAGCAGTGCAGTAGCAGTCGCGGTCGCAGTAGCAGCCGCTGTTGTTGTTGCAATAGCAGCATCAGTCGCAGTCATGTCAGAGCAGTAGCACGGGACAGTGTTATGGCCCGTGGCAGTAGTGGCGGGGCGTCGTGCCCGAAATTCTGCACCCTGACCCCAAGCCTTAGACCCTAAGTCCTAGAGCCTAAAACATCCTAAAAGTACGTCCCTCAACCCAAACACTGCAGGCCTGATTCCCTGGAACCTAAACCAGCCTGAAAGTCTAAACCCTGAACTTCTATGGTTTAGGGTTTAGAGTTTAGGGTATGGGTTTTGTGGTATAGTGATAAAGGTTTTGGGTTTGGGGCCGAAACCCTGGCCTGGTTCAGCTTGCGCTGCTTGTCCGTCTGGAACTGCTGAATCTCCGCATCGGTGCGCCTCTGCTCCTGAGATACTGGGGTGTTAGGGTGATTGGGGCATAAGGGAGTTCGGGGATTAGGGGCATTTAGGGCATGAGGGATTTAGGATATTCGGGATTTAGGATTTTAGGGCATTAGGGTATAGGATGGTTCAGGGAAGACGACTTTGAAGTCGAGAGCTGTGAGCTTCACACTCCGAGGGTTTCGAAGGTTAACGCGCCTGCACCGTGCAAGAGGGTATCTACGAATCCGAGCGTATATCTGCGTGCACAATGCTCATATTCATATCCACATATTTGCACGTATGTATTTTTTATGTATATATTTATTTATATTCAGTGTGCTATCACGCAAGGTCCCTACATACATATTTACATACAAACTTTCCATACACGTTTCCAGGAATTTCTGGACATACGGTTCTTTACCATAAACGATTGTCTCCTTTACGCGTTGCAACCCCATCCCTGCCTTGAAGCTTCTCAACTCGACGACCCCTGGACAACCCCCGAACAAGCCTGGACAACCTTAACGACTATAAGGGCCTCAATTACTAACACATTAGAATAGGTTATATTATGGTTTAAACACAATAATAAGGAAACCTTAGGAACATAATGTGATATAACGGAACAGAATACAAATAGACTATCACATACATGTATAAATACATGTACATACATGCATGTATATGTGTATATAACAAACCCATATGTATGTACATACATCGTTATGCACGTATATTAAGAAAATGTGTATATATATATATACATATATATGTGTATATATATATATATGTATATATCTTCTATCCTAGCTTCATGTCCCAGACCACCAGCGCCTTGTCGATCCGCTGCTCGTCGTCGCCAAGTCGCTTGTGAGTGTTCTTGAGCCCCTGAGAAGTGGCGTAGGGTTTTTCTGGGGGTTGTAGGGTTCCTTTAAAGGGATCTATGATAGTAGGGGTTTTGGGGGGTTTCAGGGTTTAAGACTTTTTGGGGTTAGGGCTTCTTGGGTTTAGGGCTTCTTGGGTTGAGGCTGAGGGTTCGGGCTTTAAGGTTTTAGGGCAATTACAGGAAAAAAGTGCAAGTAGACGGGCTGCGAGGTTCTCGAGACCTTAAAGGCCTTAAAGTTTGTTTATCTGGTTGCAGTCTTATCGGACCCCTGCAAGTATTTAAGGCTCACAGCTTTCGGAGTTGTTTTGTCTGGGGGCTCGGGCTTGAAAGGGTTCTACGGTTTGGGGTTTGTCTTGGGGTGGGTGTGGAGTGGCCACTGCTTCTGGGGGCTGCAACTTGCTTAGTGAAGTCTCGTGATGCAAATGCGAGACTACCTCCATATCGTCAAACCAACCCAGCCTCAAACCTTACACCCCAACACCCTTTGAAAATCCTAAAGCCGTGAAAGGCCAAACCCAAAATCCTAAAACCGCAGTAGGAACGTACTCGAACAACAGATGGAAGAGGCCATCGCAAGAGCTAGTGAACAGTCAGCGGCAACATACGACACCATGTTCCACGGTACGGAATGCTGTTTATGCTTCTTGCTCTTGTAGAGCCAGATAAACTCACAACAACATTATGTGTCATCGTATATCCTCACAAATGATGTCGCAGAGTGGCAAAGGCAGAACGAAACGGTCGGAAACAACTTAAATGCACACCACACACAAGGACGAATGACAAGTTCGTACGCTAGCGCACGCAAAATTACATACTTACTCCGCAGAGGGGATGCACGATACGAACACGGTTCTGCATTACAGCATGCCGCAGATTCACGAACACGTCCCCATCGGGGCTGCAAAGACTGCACGGCGCAAGTTCAGAGATGGCATTATGATTATGATTAAATAGATGTGTATTGTCATTCTGCTTATTGTTATCGCCATTGCCTTTGACTATTTTCTGTAGTCGCGTTTTATTCTTGATACGACTAGCACTACTAACTAGTAGGTCCTCATATTATTAGCCCTCATACCATTAGTGCTACAGCATCATTAAATAGATTAAAGTAATTAAACTCATTAAATTGGGTGGAAATCTCCAGATTCCCTTAACCTTTGGCGCTGGATTCCAAGCAGTTCTTACATTATTGCTAGAAGGGCCCTTTAAAGGAACCTTCCCTATATCCCTTATAGTACCCTCATCGTATCCCAAAACCCCCAGGCCTCCACGGCCTTTTGGATCTCCTGGAGGGCGTCTTCCATCTCAAGGCCTTCCGGCAAAGCTTCGGAGAGGAGGGGGGGGCGCTAACTAAGGAATATACATGAGGTCAATGTTCATGATATCATATCAGGGGTCCTACTATATAGCTTACGGTATCTCACTGGAATATCTGTTGAATTGAGGGACCTTGGAAGGTCTCGGTGCTGCTGCAACGCTGGCGATATCTACGACCGTGGTATATCGCATTATGGCAACATATTGCATTCAGTGTTTCACTGGAGTCTAGCATGCTACGAGAAGCCGCTGAAATGTCTGTCCGGCAGCCACGGGATCGCAGACTTGGGAACCGAGCGCTTGTCGCGCAAGTCGATGACGCTCTCGTAAATCTGGTGGTCGCATCCCTGTGTTCAGGGTTCAACATGGTTTTGAAGCGAGGTTGCGACGGTGTCGGTCTGCAAGAAGCATCCGAGTGCAAATGTGAGTCTCAGCTGGAGGCCTGTGGCGGGCCGACATCATCATCCTCCATGTCCTCATCCTCGTCGCTTTCAATGTCGCTTCCCTGCATGGCAGGTGGCTAGTGCAGAGCTGCGAGGTCACAGAGTCTCAAAATTCAACACATCCGGACGTAAAGCACCTCATCATCCTCGTCCTCCTCATCCTCATCCATGTCCTCTTCTTCACCCATGCCCTTCTTCCGCTTGGATCTCTTCACCTGCATGCCGCACGAGAAGCTGCAATGCCAGCATGTGCCGAGAGTCGTCCAAGAACTTTGAACACACGCTTTTGCAAGTTGGCCGGCCTTCTTCTTGTACACTTTCAGCAGCGCACTCAGGAAGGGCGAATTCTCGCCCACCAGATCTGTGAACTCTGCCTGCACTCGCAGCTCAACATGTGCTTCAAGGGTGATCGACAAAGGAGACTAATGCATCAGCGATGATACGCTGCACTGCAGTCCCGCTAGCCGGGCAGGCCAGAGTGGCTGCCGGCCGGAAATGACACTTGAAAGCGACAAAGAAACGCTGGTACGAGTCGTCATAGAGAGAAACAATAACACCCACAACAATTCATGAAGACAGCTCGCGGCCTGCAGGTTCTGCTCCTGGGTGTGCCATTCTTCGATTTCGGCCTCCCAGCCAAACAGACTGCTACCGCCTACGAGTGGATTTGAGTCAACACTTAGTTTCCTCGCAGAGCGCCCCGATACCATACTTATCCAAGGAAGCACACGTCACGATACCAGACCATGAAGCGACACAATGTCACCAAACTCCAGAATCGAATCCAAAACCACACCTGACTTTCATCTCACGGCGTTGGTGCTGCATCTGCAGCAGGACAATCCACGCTTTATTGGTACGGTAGACTACTCTGGCGACAGGTATTTGCAGCAGCAGCAGCCGCAGCAGCAGCCGCAGCAGCAGCCGCAGCAACAGTAGTAGTAGTAGTAGTAGTAGTAGTAGTAGTAGTAGTAGTAGTAGTAGTAGTAGTAGTAGTAGTAGTAGTAGTAGTAGTGTGGTAGTCGTAGTATTCGTGGTGGCAGTAATAATTGTAGTAGTAGTAGTAGTAGTAGCAGCAGCAGGAGTAGTAGTAGTAGTAGTAGTAGTAGTAGTAGTAGTAGTAGTAGTAGTCTCAAGAAGTGGAAGAGTGGCAGCAGAATTGTTGAAATAAAATGATTATTGATGCCAACGTCTTCCACAGCGACCTACATAGACGATGCTGGCGTCAACATTGCCTTCTTTTCGCTCAGCTGGTCTTGACATTCTTTGATCTGGAGCATGATGCTGGTCTTGTCTTGCCGACACCTGAAACGCCCCGGATGGTGTCGTGAGACATGTGCTTGTGATGTTCATGTCACACAACCATGCAATACAGCAACATTGGGGGTAAGTTACAACACTTGTGCAGCACCACCCCAGGGAGGCATGCCAGGACTGGAATCACTTGCGCACGGCTTCTGAGACGCACACTTCGTCGCTTTCTTCAACAGCGCCTTGGCAGCGCATGCCATAACCCGTTGATTGATTGCAAGGCTGAGTCGCGAGCTCAGACGTGCCAATGTGTCTGCACCGTTTAGTCTTTAACAGGCCCTGCGAACTCAGATATTCGGAATTTCCGCAAAACGGCAATCGGCAAAACAGCAACACACTTTGCGAGCCACATCAACAACCCAACGACTCGGCAACAGTTTTCGCCGTTGCTCCAACTCCGGCAACGGCATGACACGGTTCCACAAAGTGTTGCTGAAGCCTGTGATATTGCAAGCAAACTTGGCCAACCTACTCCGTATCCTTACCTCGCGCAAACTCTCCACAGAAAGTTGACTCCAGTTGTGACGGTAGCCGGGATGCTCGCGGGTGTGATGTTGCGTTTTGTGGCCAATTCGGCCAGCCGAGCACGTAGCAAGGAGTGATTGCATCATCGTGCGGATGAGTAGCTGCCTAGTCGATGGAGTCAGGGACAGAGTCATGGACATAGTGAATGACTGAATGTGCACTGGACTGACGGGGCCATGCATGCATCATGGACCACATTGGCGAGGTGACGGAAAAATAATGTGCGAGTGATGGTATGGCTGGCGGAGCACCCGCATTCCGCCAGGACACGCATGCATTCACCCCCCACTCACTGCAGTCTTTCTTCGTTTAACTTCATCAGTATTCTGCAACGATTCGGCGACTGGTAGTGCGTTTTGTGTGGCATTTGCACACGCTGTCTGTGTTGCTAAGCAAAGGTCGTACACTGTCACACCGGTTCATGCCAAAAACGAATGACTGTGAAGAGGGATGATTGCAACATGTAAACCATGGAAGTGTGTGTGCGTGCGACGATGTGCTTAACACAATCATCTGATGGAAAGAGCGGCGAAACAGGTGGCATGTTCTTGATCACGATTGCATGCCGGTGTAATGGTAGCGGACACGGGGTGGAGTTACATTGTCTTGATGAATTGAGTGGCGCCTTGGATGAATGATTCAGTGCCACGCGTGGAATTTTCGAAACATGAAGAGCAAACGAGCAAGCGAACGATCACCTGAAATGAGACAGTCTGAAAAAAATGGCACGGACCGCAATTGAAAGAACAAGCGGGAGTGAATGTGCATGACTCCAACGGTGACGACGTGCGTGGTTGGGGTGACCGAAGCCGATCCTGAGGGAACAGCAGCGGCAGCGAATGACGCCCAAAATGTCAAACCGCTCCAAGCGCGTCAGAATGCTTGATGGACTGTATTTCGGAACATGCGGAACACATGAAAGCATGAATGACGGAGTGAACGACGAAATATGTGGCCTTGGAAATGCGAAGAAATAACATTTCATGATGCAAGTGACGAAACGACTCATGAAAGAAACAAATATTGACCGTTCACCACGGAACCTGTGATGAAGTGAAGCAATCGCAATGATCGAACATGACTCGAGGTATTGGCCAAACTGCAATGCATCAAGGAATTGTGAAACTGGGGTGATGGTATCTACGACGGAATGACGAATATTGATATGCATGACGCAGCAAAGTCAGGATGGAATACGTGATGGCGCATTGCATGATGGAACGCACGATGGCGCAGTGCAGAGTTCATGGCACAATGAATGACAAAACAAGATTACAATTACAGCAACTACGTGACTACGTGCGGGGTGACATGAAAGCACCGTGATGGTGCATGAAGCCTGAACAGAAGAAAATGACAAACAGATGTAATGCATGATGGATTGCACTACGTCATTACGTACGGAGTGACATGAAAGCACAGTGATGGTGAATGAAAGCCTGAACAGAAGAAAATGATAGACGGAGTGATAACTGATGTCATGCATGCTGGACTGCGCGACGGAGTCAAATCGTGTGTGACGGAAGACGTGATGCAAATGGATAACGGCATGAATCACGGAGTAACGAGAAGGTATTGGCAGTCAAACCGAACATGAGCGAACGAATCACATCCGGCATGACGTTCAGTCACGGGGACGGTGCAAATACCGAAATGAATGAGGAAGTGTATATTGGAGCGTGTGACGGAATAAAGTCGGGTGTGATGGAAGGCATGCTGGCGTCAATGACGGAGGGCCCCATGTATGACGAAGGGATACGATAACTACTGGAAAACAAGGTGGACCGCTCGATCGGCACGGAGTACTTGATGAAACATGGTGGCGTGATGCAAATCATACTGGAGTGCACGACGGAGTAAACCACGTATGACCTAAAGCATCTTGATGCATGACGGAATAAATGCAACAGAAACTGAGCATATGTGTTTGACCTGATTTGATTGACTGTCTCATGCAAAGGGGAAATGCGTGGCTGGCGAAATGAATTGCAAGATGGCTAAAAGGTTTGCGCGATGGAGCACGCCAAAGCACGATGCGGCCTGACAGAACGAACTGAGCGAACATGATTCGAGTATCTCGCGGCAAGACATTCAATTGGTGGAGTGTTAGGTGGTGACGGTGATAAGTGATGCACTAAAACGGGGTGTGGCGGAAGGCATATGAAGGCATGATAGAGCGAGTAAATGATGGAGAACGTGGCAGAAGAAAGAGAGGTGACGAAAAGAATGACAGAAAAACTGGTGGAATGCGTGACGGGATACGTAGAGATGGAATAAATGATGGTTTGCGCCGGCAGGGTGACGGACTGAATGACCGAACATGGAATTGTTTACAATATGCCGTACGGTGACAATGGCGAAATGAATGGCGAAGGAGGGATGAGTGATGCAATGCGTACTGGAGTGCACAGCGGGGCAAATGGTACGTGAAGGAAAGCATAATGGAATCGATGAGGGACTGACTCACGCGGCAAATGCTGGAAGGAGCAGCGGGGTAGCGAAAGACTGACACAACAGCTGGCGGGACTACTTGTAGCGACGGGTGGGAAGGCTTCCATGAACTGCGTTCCGGATAATACAGAACACATGATGACATGATGACAGATTGAAGCAGGAACATACCTAAAATCACTCATGGAATGAGTGACGGGAGGTGACGGTGAGAGTGACGGGATAATTGACGGAGTGACTGCATGTGTGACGGAAATCATTAAAGATTGATGGAGTGATGGTGAGACTGACGGAATGAATGACGACTGACCGCATGTGTTTGACAGAAGGCGTGATGGAGCGGGGCAATGATTGACATATGACAGAGTCAATGACATTACGAGCGGTGGAAATCGCAACGAAGCAATACGGAATACGCAATACGCGACAGACTGAATGAACGAAACGGACTGTTGTACTTGTATTGGAGGTGACAGTGACAATAACGGATTGGACGGTGTAATGGCTGCTGCAATGCATACCGGAGAGCGCGGCCGAGTAACTGTGTGCGCACCGAATGACATGATGGAGTGAATGTCGGAATGACTCACCGGGTAAATGACAGAAGCAGCGACGGGTTGCCAAGAAAATTACATAAAAATCAATGTAACAGGAGACGAAATGCCTGATGGAACGTGCTCCGGAACACACTGAGCACATGAGCGCATGATGCAATGCGTGCATGACGGAATGCCTGAAGCGGGACGATGTACGTGACGGAATGTGCAACGGGATAGAACGGAGTACGTGACGGATTGAATGTGACCGAACACATCACAGAATGACAAGGATAATACGGAATAACAGAGTGATTCGGGTGACCGTGAGAATGATGGAACCATGGAGTGATATGATGGAGTGCGCAAAGGAGTGTGCGACGGAGTAACGCCTCATGTGACGGAAAGCATGATGGAGTGAATGACCGAGTTACTCACGGACATTCAATGCGAGATTCATGGGGTGAGGGAAAGAGTGACGACCGACTTACCGTATTTGTTTGACCCAATGCGTGGCAGACAGAACGATGGAGTGCGGGAAGGAGTTCGACGCCGATGGGGGGAATGCAGCAATTATGGATTCATTGCTCGACACAGACAAAAGGAATGGATAACGGATTACGTGACGGCATGGCAGAGGGCTTGAAGCCAATGATGGGTTCACGAATGGAATGATTGTATCTTTCATTGGTGACAGCACGGACAATTCGATAGAAGGTAAAAAAACCAGATGAACCTGGAAATGCCTCGAAACTGGTGCAAACAACCGAATACTCACTGCATCAAGCTATTTCTGTTTCCATAGATTTTCGAGGCACCGTAGCTCGACCCTCCTCACAGCACGCCCGTCTATCACCCTCGTGGAAAATGCGCTGTTGCGCTACGTCCGGGATCCAAACCTACCCTCCAATTGCCGATATCCAGGGCGTGCTCAGCTTTCCAATTTTCGGAGGTTGAAAACCGAAAAACATTGCGGGGATCGCTGCATCGTTCTGGGCTGCTTTTGCTCCGCTGGCCTTCGCTCCGAGCTGCTTGCTACCGAAGGCACATCTACGCACATGGAACGGACAGCACAGAATGCATTTGCAACTATTCCCAAGACATGTCCAACAAGAACTCGAACGGGCACCTCGTCTTTCTCTTCCAAGTCGTTCAGTGTCAACAGCTCCTGGAAAGTCTGCTGCTTGGATTTGCCTTCCCAACTGTGCACACGCACACCATCCTGTTTGCGGGCAAGAACATGCGGCGACCCAATGCTGATTTTTTCCTCGGGGCACCTTCAAAACTCTTCGGCTACGTCAAAGCTAGCAACGCATCAAAAGCAGCCACGGCGGAGTGGTCAGTGATGCGATAATCACCTGCAGGTGTCGACGGCATATCAATGATTGGGTTTTTGTTGCGGCACGGGGATTTCCAAATTGCAAATGCGGCTATTGGGGAATTCAATATTGTCGACTCCTCTTCTGCAACAATGTATTGGGGAGCTTCAACTTGCAACTTCAAATATACCGAACCATCTTCTGAAACGATCTACTGGGGTATTCCAGTTTGCGGGACAAGATGTGTTTTGGCAAGTTACTGGCCTCGGGTGCAAACTCAAAAACAAAATGCACTGGCTCTGTGCCACAGGACCGCAATACGCAAGCAAGTGGCCGGGAAACCGGAGGCCGGCGACCGACCGGACAAGACGACCACAGCACCAAGGAGGTTATTTTGCCCAAACACCCGGTGTCCCGAAGCTCCACCAAACCAACCGCGGGCCGAGCAACACAAGGAGAGCAAAAAGCCGCAGGAAGCATGCATTGCGGGAGAGCAAGCGGTGAGTGGAAAAGCAAAAGCACAAGCGAGGACGCAGTAGGCATAAAGCAGAAAGCAAGTTGCAGGAAGCAAGAATCAACGAGAATACAACACCGCAAGACAAACACACCACAAAGGCTAGCAAAAAAAACAGCCAGCGAACAAGTTCCAGCAGCCAGTAGCGCAAGATACACAAACATACGCAAGATACACAAACATACACGCACACACACACACACACACACAAAGGCAACAAGAACAAGGTCGCAACGGTGTAATGGATCCCACGTTTTTTGTTTTTAGACTTCGAAAACGCCGCTCCCACCGACAAAAGTGGACTTGGCGGGACTGGGGGGTGCGGCGGGATAATAGGACCATTTTTGAAAAACGCGATTTTGCTGTTTTCCATTAAAAATTGGCTTTCGCGTGGGTTTTGGACACGCCGGTGCTAAAGGTCACTGTTTTGGTGTGTAAAAATGGCTGGGGCAAAAACGAAATTTTTGGGTGCCGCTCGGTTCCAATGATTTTCAATGATTGTAGCGTGTGTTGAAAATGCCTTTTCGTGTGGGTTTTTGCGCATGCAAAGATTCAATTTGGCTCTGGACGTGCGGAAATGCGGGTAGTGCAGAATCCAGAAAATAAGCTATCCGTCCGATTTAGCACAAACACAACACTCGCGGGCAAGACCAGGCAACTGCAACAAAACAACATGGTCTTAACTGCAATCTGAGTCTTATGTCCTGGCAGACATGCACCCTCGAAGCCCAGCAGAAACAGCACAAGAACAAACGCGGAAAGACCCCAGAGTTGCGGGTTTGCCGCGCAGAACGCTCAGCGAGAAACGCGTCTGGAAAGAAAGCTCATGCAGCACGGATGCCAAGGCCCCACAACCACCCCCCGGTTGGAACATGTATGTCTGATCTCGACGTTATCGTGGTTGGGACATGGATGCTCTGTGGGAAAGGATGGAGTCTGATGTGAACTTTATTGGGTCACGGATGCTCTGGGGGAATGGATGGAGTCTGATCTGGACGTTATCATCGCTGGCACATCATGGATGCTCTGTGAAAACTGATGGAGTCTGATCTGGACGTCATCATGGTTGGGACATGCATGCTCTGCTGGAATGGATGGAATCTGATCTGGCGGTTATCATGGTTGGCACATGGATGCTCTGCGGGAATGGATGGATGCATGGATCCATCCATTCCCACAGAGTGCCGAGAGCATCCATGTGCCAACCCTGATGACGTCCAGATCAGACTCCATCCGTTCCCGCAGAGCATCCATGTCCCAATAACCATGATAACGTCCAGTTCAGACTCCATCCATTCCCACGGAGCATCCATGACCCAACCATGATAACGTCCAGATCAGACTCCCATTCCCACAGAGCATCCATGTCCCAACGATGATAACGTCCAGATCAGACTCCATCCATTCCCGCAGAGCATCCCTGTGCCAACCATGATAACGTCCAGATCAGACTCCGTCCATTCCCGAATCATGATAACGTCCAGGTCAGACTCCATACGACGTCTGGTCTGGGCGTTATCATGGTTGGGACATGGATGCTCGGTGGTAAAACATGGAGTTTGACTGGACGTTATCATGGTTGGGACATGGATGCTCTTTGGGAATGGATAGAATCCGATTTGGACGTTATCATGGTTGCGGCGTGGATGCTCTGTGGGCAAGCATGGAGTCTGATCTGGACGTTATCATGGTAGGGACATGGAGGCTCTGTGGGAGTGGATGGAGTCTGATCTGGACGTTATCATGGAAGCAAAATCGCGTTTTCCAAGAATGGCCCTATCAACTCCGAGCTTGTCGGCAGGGCCAGGGTTTTCATGGCCTGACAAGGCGAAAAGCATGGGATCCGTTACACAGCCGTGAACAGCAACAACAACAACCACCACAACCTACCTTGCAGCAAGGACCCCCACCTTCATCTGCATAGACCGCGACGCTGGCATAATCGTGGTGCTCAAACGTCCGCTGCCTGAGGCAGACATCGCTGCGAGTGACCACCAGGGGCAACGCGAAGCTTTGATCGGGGGTCAAGAAGTCCCGAAGCTTCCGTCGCCGCACCGGTCCCGGAGCCGTGGCCCTGAGCAGCCATCCGACCATGGCAGACTCGAGCCTCCCCCTGTGGCTTTGTCTTGTGAAGGCAAACAGCACCTGACCGATGCTGCATGTCTCCGAGTCGAGGCCCATGTCGGTGATTTCGTGCAACAGGACATCTTGCTGTTGAAGATGGAACCACTGCATCATGGATGCATCTCCGTGGTACGATACCACAAGGCGCACAACTCGAGAGTCGACCAACCGCACGATAGTCAGATCCAAGTTCCCTGGCCCGCCAGGAACCAATGCACGGCTGGGATAGATCATTTCGCCGTCATGCAAGATGTTGGCGAGTCGCAGTTCTTCAAATGCAAAGACGGCCGCGAGACATGCCGCCCACGTTGTGCCAACTGGTGCGTCGAATTCCGAGAAAACGGATCCGTCAAGGCACCGAAGCACGCAGTGGCGCATAGTCATGGCTTTGCAGACGGGCAACAGCTTAAGTGTAAACTACCTGAGGTTGTCTAGACAACACTGTCTCGATGCTGGTCGTGCAGTCCGGATGATATGAGAACTCTGCTTGCCATCGAGCCTGAACGACCTCCCGCGCTAAGCAAGACATGCCAAGCAAAGGATGACTCGGCGGCAGACCTGCAGCTTTACTTGCGCTTCTGACGGGAGGACTCACGACATGTGCATCTCCTCGTAGAGGACCAAGAGCTTCATGTCCGCATTTTTGAGATCGCTTTCCAGCTTGGCCTTCTCCTTTTCAATGGAGGCGACGGCCATGTTGAAGGTGTCAATGACCTTAACATCACGACCACTGCAGCAGCTACGGCGATGCCAACATGCCTTCGGCCGAGCTCCGTGCCTGCCGCACATGCTCTTCGAGCTGGCCCTTGTCGTGTCGCAGCCTCGCCTGAGACTCGGTGGCAACGGCCTGCCAGGCTGTAAAGGAGCATCGCATCCGAAAAGGGATCCTGCACAAACCCTAAACGCGCCTCGGACAGGACGTCCCGCTTCCCAGACTTGTCCTGCCAATTTTTCAGCCCTGCCCCCTGTCGCCGCCGGCACCCCCGTCACTCCACGCCGGACAACATAACGTAGTGGTCTGCCAACAGAAGCGCAAGGTCCCTCAGTCCCCATTCAGAGGTTTCCTCAAGACTAGACCTGGACTCTCTGCAGATCGCAGCCGAATACATTGGACAGTTCTGCCAGCGAACCGCCATGAACATGGACAACCGGATGGATCCGACTAGGTTCGGAAACATACATTCAACATCGGGACCGGCATGACGCACAAATCGAGACATTTCCGCATGGCCCTATGCAGAGCATTCGCAGGAACAACTTCCCGGAGCCGTGGCTCTGAGACCCTGGGCCCAGCCTCAAGAAGCGATGCGCGCCTCAGCAAGAGCTCGGCTTCGAGCTAAGGACTTACGGGTCTCCTCGGGTTTCCGGGCTTGAGATTGAGTCTCATTTGCGGTCTGGCTGACGGTCTGTGTCCAGAGTATGGCACAGATCACTGCTTAGCCTTTCAACATTCGCCGTTCGTTATGTTCCACCACCTCTCCTTCAAGAAAAATTGTCATCCTCCAGCACTACTGCCGTCCTCGACATTCATCGTACTAGCCCACAGCTGTCATCAGACCTGATGTTTCTCTTCGTTTTTTTCGGCGATGTCTACTTCTACATACTCGTGAGCCTTCTTGTTCTCCGTCGAAGGCATAATCAAGCACGTGCAGCGATATGCACAGCTTCGGATTGCCAGTTTAGCTCTGCCGTCATGACTATGGTGACGATGATGATGATGATGACGTCATAAGGACCAGGATGACCATGATCACCACCACCGCTGTAAGCAGGGTCATGGATGTTGCGGTCGTCCATGTCGTCATCATCGTCATCACTGTTGCCAACATCACAATGCTGTGGCGGCGGCAGAGTTAAGCGACCCACACGCCGGGCGGCAAGCCTGGGTGGGAGCAACTGACGGACGAACCGCAGGAAAGCTCAACCGTTCTGGATGCTTCTTCTCAATTGTCTGCAGCAGCCTCTGAAGGAAGCGCCGGGGTCAGATATCCACCTGGCCTCGCCTCCTCCATCGCTTCGTCCCCTTATCACCTTCCTTGCTTCGGTAGATCGTCAAACCTCCCCTGAAGCCTTATCGAACCCTTTGGCCGCCCGGCGCTGCACGGCCGGAAAGGGGAGCCCCTGGTCGCACTCCGACAGCCTTCGAGGCAGCTGCGGCTTGCAGACTGGTAATCACGATAACTGCTCTAACTGCTCCTTGGATGATAACTGTTGTTGTTGTTGTTGTATGAACGATACTTTGATTCTGAATGATGACAAACGATAAGCACAATCTGCAGGAGCTGCGCTAGCCTTGGTCTTCTTGGCCTGCGCGACACTGGACTTCCGACCTCGAGATTTTGGGGAGATGCTTCCGGTGACTTCTCCCACTCAACCAAGAGAGGGGTTTAGGGCTTTTGGTTTGGGGGTTTAGGGTCTAGGGGGTACCAGACAGAAGATCACATCATGTCAAACCCCGCAGTGCTTATGGTTGATCCGAGCATTGATTTTGTGCATGTTGTTGTCGCCAGAAGCCCTGCCGAGTTCTTCAGATTCCAAAACCACCGCAAAGCACCCTCTTGATCAACACTTGCATCAAAGGTGCAATGTGGCTGACTCGTTGCATGCTATGATGTGCACGGAAGCACCAGACTTTAGCCCGGTCCCGAACTTAACCCAAGACTTGAGCTTTGAGAAGCTGATGGCTCAACCGAACCAAACTCTTGGGGCTCCGCCTTCGGTGTCCGCCTCTGTGGCCCCGCCCTCCTCATCCTCACCTCTGCTGATGGCTCGTATCTTCTTCAGCGGTCGCAGAATGCCAGGATGGACTCAGGGCTTGTCTTGCAGGCTTCAGGTCGAAGGACGGCTGTGTGGAGCTTCGACCGGAGAGAGTTATGAGAATCATAGGAAGGAGCACAATCCCACTACTGGAGGAGTTGACGTGACAGTGACCAGGATGCAGATGTATGGAGAACCTCAGAACCTGCTGCAACGCCATGAAGCCGGCAGACAACCACGAATCTGCCGCAAACCCTGAACCCCTGCACGCCTAAATCCCGGTGATCCTTTCAACTTCCCAGGATTACAGCCCCTAACCCTTTAAGTAGCCGTCTTAAAGGACCCCTTTCAACTCCCAGAACTATCCCCCCAACCCAGAGCCAGGCCTTCCTCCTCCTCGATCTCCGCATAAACCTCCTCCTCTGCCTCCTCGGAAAAAGGCTCAGCTAAATCCTAAACACTGAACCCCAGACCCTAAACCCTACACCCCTCACATGTCAGTCGTGTCGGAACAGAGGTAACATTCCAGTCGAATGCCTGTCGTAAGAATTATTTTGCAAGGATCCTTCATAGGGTTTTGGGGCCAACTATACTATCCGTACGATAAGGAACCCCCACAATAGTATTGGTGATGATTTAAGCCCCTATGAAAACCCTATAGATCCCTCATATCCCTCAAAGGAACCCTTAAAGTACCCTTCAAGGGAACCCACAGTACCCTTCAAGGGAACCCTAAAACTATATTGTTTGCAGCTGGTAGTATTTGTAACTATTAAGGCTTCTGCCCCCTTTTGTGGTGTTGGGTTCCCCTCCTCCTCTTCTTGGAAGTCCTCGGCCTCATCTGCAGCCGGAGCAGCAGCCTCCTTGTTTGGGGTTTAGGTGAGGGGTTGTAGGCGGAGACTTCGCACGCGACGTTGCTCCTCGGGCTTCTCGCCCCGCAAATGGCTGGCAAAGGCCTCGCGAAGGTTGCAGTGGGAAGCTTGTTGCAAGGACCATTGGGGTTCAGGTCAAAATCAAGTCTTGTCAGGTTGTGCGGCCAATCTGCTTCTGGGGGTCCGGGTCGAGTTTTGCACTGTTCGAAGCTCGGCATCTTCTGCCGGTCCTGGATGTCAGTGTCGCTGAACTCAAAGCGCTTCTCCGGGTACTCTGGCGGGGCACCTTTCGACACCCCACACCCTATTCCATGGGCTGGAAATGGTTGAACTGATGCTCTTGCTGGCAGCCCATTCGATGCTCCCGAGGCACCAGGTGGGTTGTCCACGATGCCCGCGACCCAGTCCGTTTTAGTGCCTCCCGAGCAGCGAGTGGAACTTGTTCAAGGTTTGGATTCTTCAGCCACCGACCCCAAAGCGTATCGATATGCTGTTAGTATCCGACGGTATTTCAAACATGCGGCATTTCAAGAAACCTGTACGCACGGCAAAGTTGGGTTCTCACGGGCCAGATAGGATGCCAAGTTGAGGGACTGTCTGCGTCTGCACGGCTAGATTCTGGATGCTCAGCGAAAACGGATCTTCGAGATTTTGAGCAGTAAGCAATAGAAAATTCATGGTCAGCTGTTTAGTTATGATGGTTGACAACAACCTTGGTGGCAGCATCCTTGACGTGGAGTGGCTAACAAGGTCTGCAGCCAGGCGCTACTGTTCGTGGCAGGGTCGGGTGCATTTCGCGGCGAACTCCGGGCTAGTCATCGAAGTCGTTTCGCCGGGCGTTCGGAGCCGAAAGCCCAAGGGGGGGTACTTAAAGGATCATGGGACTTAGTAACTAGGGTTATAATTAGGGTAACTATACTTATAACCCCAATTAAGATACTTATAACCTTACTTACTAAGTCCCATGATCCTCCAAGTAGCAACAAAGATCAAGGCAGAAGGGACTTCCGACTTCCGGCTCAGAGGGCAGAACCACAGCTTCTTGTGACTGGCCCGCAGTCACCAAACGGTTCATGGGTACAAGTAGCTATAAGTGGGTTTTATACGCCCCATAATAGGGGTTGTAATTATGGTTGCCTTAATTTATAAACCACTTATAACTACACATGAACCTCCCAGCGACCCCCTAGCAGACCCCCGCCTAGCTGCTCGTCGATCTCTGCCAGTGCCATGAGGTCCCTCTCCACCTGCGGCGATGTTGTCCAACAGATCTACTGACTACACTAAACGAGTATGTCCTTTAATCAAGTTACGATGATAGTCTGATAACATGGGACACACTAGTAATCGTCGTGGCAGCAGCAGGACCGCATCGCCCCGAAGCTGAGATGCTCGTGATGTCTTCTTGACAAACCCGGTTCAGGGTTCCTGCTTAAGGGTTCAGGAGTTCAGCGCTTGTTTGAGAACTGCCCTGCATGTCCCATTCGTTGCAGTTACACGCCAACTGCCGCTGGAGTTCGCCTCGGCACGCACCTGCTGGCGGAAATCACGCAGGGCCAGTACCTGCGTCAGGTTCGATCCGTTGGAACGGCGCTGCCGAAAGAACCTAGACAGCCCGCTCTGAAACATATAAACACCTACTTAACTTCAGTGACCATTCCAGGTGCAAGAGTATCGAGCGAGAAAAACATAGCGACCACGAGTTGAGACAGTCAGATACCGTGTGGCTGAGTGTAAATGTATGTGAAGACTGTGTGCGCCATTACACGCCCCATGAAGACTCATGTAGACCCTTCATGCCGAGGGCACCCTCTGATTGAACTCGGTCTTGATTGCATGGATTGACTCCTGCAGGGCAAGCCGCTCTGGTCCTTGCTTGGTCTTTCTGCTCCATTCGCAACATCCATCTCTCCTCAAGCAAGAACATTTGGCGCCGCTTTTTCTCGGCGTTCATGCGCTGGTTCTCGGGGACCTGGACAGCTTTGCTTAAAGGAAAGGCATTCCTTCCAGCATGTCCCGAAGAACGGTCCCTAGCCTCATCCCCTAAAGCGAACAACTAAAAGCGCATGTTTCGGCATGCCTTTCCACTTACACTTCTCTACCAAACGTCTGCCAGAAACCACTCGCCAGCCTGATAATCCTCGCTCGTCTTCAGCATGTAGTTGCCCAGAGTCGCCTGCAGCTTTGCAGCCGAGAGCTACGGCTTAGAACGGCGAGGCAACGCAAGATGCAACTGCCTCTGCGTTTGCGATGGCTTCAACATCCTCAGGGGCCTGCGCAGTGCGAAGACTGCTGGCATGACAAGAAACAGATTTCTGCAGCTCGCGTAGTTCAATGTACACAGTCGCAATTACATTGATTCAAACGAGGTGTCGATGTTCCTCGTACTGCTCGTTTGGCTTGGCACGCTCGAGCTCCTGACACAGCTTGGCCAGCTGGTGTATTATGCTGACAGGACAAACCTGCATCCACCACAGCTCAAGCAATGCAGACTTCTGTCACGAATGACCAGCTCAAGTTGACCCCCACCTCTACAAAACCTCCGCGCACAGCATGGGATGATAGACTGATCAAATTGTGGCACCTATCGACTGATACCTACAAAAGACGAGGCGTGGAGCGGCGCCGGCTCTCCTGGATCTGCGCCTTGCGCTGCAACCTGCGCTGGAGCAAGGACTGGGCGCCCAGAGACTCCAATCTCCCTTAATTAAGGAGTATTCCTCAAATTATAGTAGGATCGCCTTAATGAAGGAAGGAAGGCAGTGAATCCAAGAGTTAAAGAACATTAACTCTTGAGTTTATTGGCCGGCATCGGGCCGCCTTGGACCCCTTCAGGCCCGCACAATTTACTTATGATTTAATTTGGCCCTGAACGTTGCGCGACGCTCCATTCCACGCCTGTCCTGCTCCAACACGGCACAATTAAATCATGATTTAATGTGGTATCCCGCTAGTGTGGCGATCTACTTATCTAGGCTAAAATTCCTTGGACCGTGATAGTAACCCCAACTACATTACTGGTGGTTACCAAGGAGGACGAATTCGGCAACTAGATCATGATTTCACGTGGATTCCCGCTAGTGTGGTGATCGACTTATTTAGGTTGTACGTCTTTGGACCGTGATAGGAACCAACTACACTACTGGTGGTTGCCCAGAAGGACGCCAAATTCCGCAATTAAATCATGATTTAATGTGGTATCCCGCGAGCGTATGGCACACAAGTCTCTGGTAGAATATACTGGCACACAGGGAGACAGTAAACTCATGATTTAATTGTATATTAGAGAAATGCATACCGACACAATTACAACCTGATTTAATTGTGTCTTTGGAAGGTCCAAGGTCTGTCAAAACCGAACAATTAAATCAAGATTTAATTTTATTTAACTTCTGGATTCATTGGTTTTCAATGAAGGAATTTTGCCTAAATCATATTAGTAGGATATTCCTTAATTATAGTAGGATCCCGAATATGATTTAAGGAATATTCCTTCATAAAGGGATATTGGAGTCTCTGGGCATGGCGAGTGAAGGCTTCTTCTCAGCGGCCCCTGCTCAGCGAAGAGAGCGTGGAGCCTCTTCGCCAGGGCCCACCAAAGCACTGCCCTCTGAGTTTTATCAGGCTTTCCGAAGCCACAAGCCAAGAAGGCAAAGCGCTCCAGGATGCGCCGGAGCCAGGAAGGTCACGAAAGCCAAGACGCTGCACCAATGATCCCGACCACTGCTAGCTGCTTTTCCAACGGCACTGCAATAACAATTTTGGCTGTCAGCATCAGCCACAGCCGCAAAACTGAAGGAAATTGAATTGACAAATAGGCTATGTGCTGTGACTTTTGCCGATCGCCCAGGCCGGCAAGGGTAATGACATGAGTCGTCGTCATCATCATCATCATCATCATCATCATCATCGCCATTGTCATCGCCATCGTCACCATCAGCCATATCATCTTCCACATCGGTGCAATCTGCAATCCTCGTCGCAGTCAGTAGCAGTCATTTCAGTCTTTACCATCATCATTACATTTTGGCAAACCATAGTGCCATAGGTGCAGGAGTAGATGACACGATGCTCCTGGCCTTTGCTGGCGTCGGAGCTCCCGCTGCTCAGCGCCTCGCGGCATCTACTTTCCCTCTACAACTATCAGTAGTATTAGCTGTTGTGCCGGCAATTAGTTGTACAGCAACTGGAGGTGGAAGAGGAGAGGAGGAGGAGGAGGAGGTCGGAAACGACTGGCAAAGAGGCCGAGGAACGACAACAGCTGCCACGCCGCTGCTGCTTCGTTATGGATCTGAGCGCATGCCGCTTACATGATTTTTTGCGAAGGTCGCTGCTTCAGTCAAACGAAACTTCCAACCGTCTTTGACATGCGCAGCCACGGCATTTTCTGTGGGCACGGAGTCGGCGGAAACGCAGAGTCACTGTGGCCATACTCCTTGAAACCAGCCTTTCCATAGCATGTCCTTGCCGCCGCACTTGTTTCCAAGACGACGGGTTTGACCCTGAAACTAGTGATGCCCTTATGGATCACAACGTTGGCCTCCGCCGCCTGCTCAGGAGTGTAGTCTGTGCTGGACTGCAGGGCTGGAGTGCCTCGCACTTTTCGTCCCGGCGGATGTAGAATGTGTTCAGTGTGCCGAGCTTCTTGCCATAAACTGCCTGCAATGATCGTGCCATCTTGCACAGTGTTGGCATCGTGCCTGCAAGGACTGCGTGCTTCTTCATCTTGTGCGCGAAGGCCCCCATCAGAACTCGCGGAAGAGGCGCAGCAGTGGTGAAAGACCGAACATTTGGCTGCCACTCGGTTGTTCAATCACCACCCAATACACACCTCGTTCCGACATGAGCAGCAACAATGTTGTCATGCTCTTGACAATGCAGTTTGCAGTCCTAACCGATGAAGGCACGCTACAGCAGCAATCCTCCCCAAACTCTTCCTTGGTGTGCACGGTCAACGTTACAGTGACCTAGTGTCAGTTGGCTTGGGTCAAATCAGGTGGCATAAACATAGCCGGCGACAGTACTTGTCTCTTTGGGCACGGCTGCTACGGTTGAAAAAAGAGGGATCAAGCCGCTTGCCAGCTTGTCAATAGCATCCATCCGTGCTTGACCACTTAAAGGATCATGGGGCTTAGTAACTAGGGTTATTTATAATCAAGGTAACTATACTTTGAACCCCAATTAAGGTACTTATAACCTTACTTACAAAGTCCCATGAGCCTTTAAGTAGCTTTCAGGGGCACGTTCAGCAGCTTCCAGCTCGACTTCGTTGTACTGCATATGGGAGTTTCCGAAAATTAGGGGTACCTTATTTAGGGGTCCTTATAATGGGGATCCTACTATTTAAGGTACTATATTAGGGTCCTCTATTTTCGGAAACTCCCATATCAAACTGGCCATCTAATCTCGCGCTTTAAAACGAGTGCGATCTGCTCTCCGACCGTCCTGTCTGACAGAGCATCCTTGAGTCGAAATATCTTCACGGGGGTTCACATTAAAACAAAAAAAACAGCGAACGCATGCATGTGCTGCCCTCCTGTGCCTGTCTCACCAGCACGGAACCTTCAAGAACCAGGAGTGCACCAAGTATGTGATGGTGATTATGATGATGAAACCGAAGCTGATGATGTCGACCATGAGGATGGTGATGGTGGTCTTCTGCAGCCCTGTTCAGGAAGCCAAATACCCAGAAGGTCCTTAGATAACCAAACATAACTACAACCAGAACATACCCCCGTAGTCCCTATAAGATTATAGTACATCACTGTATGATACCCAGGAGGAGACTTCGCTTGCCTTGAGACCAAGGCAGCCCTCTCTGGCCTGACAGCGTGCGCTCGGCGTTCTGCGAGCCTGCCGTGCGATTAAAAACCCATAGAGGTTTTTATAAAAACCTCTATGCACAGCTTCATACGCTAACTACACTGAAGGAACGCGGGATTGAAACTGCTCAGCTTGAGGACTAATCAGCCATTTCCGTCTTCCTGCGCCTCGTCACTGTGTTTGGAGGGGGTGCAAGACCGAACGAAGTTGGCCTGACATGTCAGTGACATCGAAGCCGAACTCGGTCTTTGCACCTGCGGAAGAGACAGTGTCTGCATTATTTATATACATATATATATATACACATATATATATATATGTATACATACATACATGCATACATGCAAACATATATACATATACATACAATCTGAGTGGCTTTGCCGCTGCGTTGGGGCGTACTCCCGGCAGTGCCTACGGTTAGAAAGCTTGCATCTACTGGACAGATGTTGCAGGAGAGATGGCCCCATGCATTCGGGAGCATCCGCGCGGTCACCTTCATAGCCCATGCCCTCATTCTCGTCGTCTTCCTCCTGATGTTCACACCCAACAAAGGCTCAGGAGCCCATCGCAGGCTACTCAGGCGGATCGGAGACTGACGATCTGGAGGAAGTGTGCGTCCTTGCTCTGGCGTTATCTCATGCGTGTCAATGTGTGTTCTGTCTTCGCTATGCCCCAGATCACAACGGCATCAAGTCCCGAAAATATGGGCCACTGTCATGGAGCAAGGAGATGGGAGTTTCCGAAAATAGTGAACCCTGATACAGTATCCTAAATTGTAGGAAATTATAATGACCCCAAATGATAAGGTACCCCCTCTTTTCCCCCATATCTCCTCCAGGTCCACCTCGCCCTCTGCAGCAAAGATGAGCTCGTGGAGCCTCAACGGAAGCAGATCCGAGCTGAGAGAGAGGCCAAAAGCCCCCCTAAAACCCCATAAACCCAGAGACTCCAATATCCCCTACTTAAGGAATATATACCATAAATCATATTTGGTATCCTTTTTCATTGAAAGTATATTCCTCATTAAGGAATATTGGAGTCTCTGGGAATTCCCTTAAACAATCAGGCCTACCCTGGCACCCTCGTTTCATCGAGAAAGTGTCGACGAGATGGCGGTTCCGGGAAAGTGTCGCTTCCGTAGACTATCACGGCCAAGTTGGAACCATGCGAATCCCAGGTTAGCGCGGACTACGCTTTGCCAAGCCGAAGGAAGGTGAGCTCTCCCATGTGAGGCAGGACTTGGGGACAGTAGCCCTCCTTCAGAGGTGGCAGGATGATATTACACCAGCACAACTTGTTGCAAGGGCTTGATGCCTTCAGCCGATTCCTGGTCCTACTTCAATGCTCTTCACCACGAAGCCCGATGAGTCGTCTGTTTACAGCCTGCTGCTACACTTTAGAAATGCAGATCGGTGATGTTCGCAAGCCGCCTTTGGCACTGGGGCTTCGCCACCCTAGTTGATCTTGCAGGAACCCGTGACCGCAGACATCGGTGTTGACAGATGCTGGCTCAGCAAGGCTCATGGGACATCAAAACTGCTACATCTTAAGAATGTACGCGGGGCTACATTGGTTACATGAGGGAACCTCGACCACAGGTTAGCATTGCGTGCTGCTCCAGAGACCCGGAGTGCAGTTCAATATGAGGGCCTTCATAGGGTTTTGGAGTCAGTACAGGCAGGCTGTGTAAAAGGACGATAAAAATTATCACGGTATGTCATAGTCATAGTAACAGTGTTTGTCATAGTATTGCATTATCCTATACAGTAGCTGTAGCTTTAGTTATCTAAAGGACGTGAAGGGAATGTTTCAACCCAGACCGGGCCTGGCGAGGTTGGTCTGCAGCTCGTCGGACATCGTCGCACAGCGGAAGGTGGACACGCGGTGGGGCGACTGAAAGCCCAGGACCTGCACGCTGAAGGAATTCTCCCTTTTGGGGCTTTAGGCTGTGGGGCCTTCAGGGTTTACGGTTCAGCCTTCAAGGTTTACGGGTTTAGGGGCTTAGGGTTGTTGTTTGGTTCAGGGTTTAGTTTGTGGGGTTGTGGGTCGGCTTCTACTTCTACGACACTCCTCTAAGTTCTCTGCGATGACGGGCAAGAGTAGAGCGCTGGAAGTGTGCGCCCGTGGCAACTCCAAGGAGTCCACTTGGAGAGTGCTGTATTTGGAGAGTGCTGGAGGATGTTGGTCGCGCTCCAGAAACTCCAAAACCATGAAGGAAACACTCGTGGCCTTGGCCAAAAGAGCCTAGAGCACAGGAGATTCTGGTTGCTGCAGGGTGGTCTCCAGCAGTAGGGTTTAGGGTTTAGGGTTTCGGGGTTAGGGTTTAGGGTTTAGAGGTTTGGGGGGTTAAGGGGTTTCAGGTTTAAGGTTCTCCTGCCTCCACTCGCTCAAAGTCCACCCTCTTCAGATAGTAGTCCTTGAGCTTCTGCAGCCCCCGCTCCTTGGTTCCAAGCACAGCAGTAGGACTCGGCTCAGCTGTTGGGATATCATAATTTCAGTATAGATATTCATGTCAAAACATCTTCTATTATGCCATATTCTATTCTAGTCGACTCTACATTTGATTCTATCTGTCGATGTCAGCTGTCAGAGCGACTGCTGCCGAGGCCGGGACATGGAACTCCACCGACCAGGCGAGCTCAAAGCGCACCTGACACAACAGGGAACCGAAGATATCTGACTTGCAATCAGGAGCCACACACGCAGGCAAGCAGATTGCGGTCTCATGCCTGTTCAATCTGATTTTCCATGTCCTCCCTCAAGTGGTTGATGTACCTCAGCCGACACATGAGTGAGTGCATGTATGCAACAATACATGCATACCTACATACATACATACATACCTACGTACGTACATGCATACATACATAGTTACATACACGAACACACTCACAGTTGCACACATGTGCATGTTCATAAACACATACGTACATACATACTTTAATAAAGTCATAAAGAAAGACAGAGAGAAAGACAGCGACAGAGACAGAGACGCAGAGAAACAACGACACAGAGACACAGAGACAGAGACACAGAGACACAGACACACAGACACACAGACACAACACAGACAGAGAGACAGAATGCATGTATGTGTGTGCCTGCTGTATGTATGAAAAAATGTATGTACGGACGCATGTGGGTGTGTGTGCGTGTGTGCGTTTCTGTCCATGCTTGTGAGTATGTGTCTTTGTGCTGGTATGCGTGTGTAAATGTGTGTAAACACACACATATATGTGTGGTTGTGAATATCCACGAGCAGGCGTGTGGGTGTGGGTGTGGGTGGCGCACTCTTGATCGACCACCATGTCGCTGCCAACCAGCTGGGCTTCCACCAGCTGGCTGTTTTTGACCTGCATGATGACCGTGCAGAGGCTTGATTTTTCTTCGGTGTGGGCGGGTCGTATATGGAGCTTAGCCGGAAACCCGCCCAGGTCACCCGTGACAGGTGTGCAAGCGGGCTGCTCTAGATGAGGGTCACCTTTCAATGTAAACAGCTCTAACTAAAAAGAGCCGCATGCGTGATCCATGAAAGCCAAGAACTTTCTCGACAGCAATCTGCTCAGTTCGCTAGGCATCGTAAAGCCGGGCCTGAAGATCAACAAGCTCCTCTCGGATCTCGCTGATGCGCTCGCGCACGCCTGAGCATTCAAATCCCGCAGATAACACGAATGAAGGGTCAGACACCATGGTTGTCTTAAGCCGAGACCCTCCATGTCAGGAGGCCGGAAACTTCCAGGACCCTCCCAGAAAGACCCCATAGGCTAACCCGTATAAAGGAGCCTTGAAGCAAGCTCTAGCGCAATCCTCGCAGGAAGCCTTGGGAGTGTGAGCTATGGGGTGCATGGGTAGTTAGAAGTGGGGGTATAAGTAAGGCAACTGTACTTATAACCCTCATCGGGGGAATTATAACCCCACTTATAACCACCCATGAACCTCCAAGTAAGCCCTAAGCCCTATCACTGCAGCCTCCACTGAAGTTCCCTGGTTCCTTGTCTGGTTTAACCTCTTAACCATAAACCCTAAACCCTAAACCTCTAAACCCTAAACCTCGTAACCCTAAACCTCCAAACCCTAAACCCCCTAACCCTAAACCCTGAAACCCTAAAACCCTAAACTCTAATTGAGACTTCGAGTTCTTTCGCGGCTTTCTGGGGTTCCGGACGAAGCTTCTTCAGCTCCGCGGCGGCCTTGGCGCTATCCTCCTCGGCCTTCAGCTTGGCGTCCTGGCTTTGGCTTGGGGCTTCTGGACTCACAAAATAATAATAATGATATCAATAATAGTAAAAGTAATAATATTAAAATAATATTACTGGTAATAATTTTAAAAATAATATTGACAATATTAATATTAAAAATAATGATGACAATAACAATAAATTAAAAATAATAATAATCTGATCTTACTAAAATAATATACTATAATAGACTAGTACTGTATTATGATAGGGTTTGGGGTTCATTACATTGAGGTTGGGAGATGCTCGCTTCGAGACACGGAAGACAAGTCGACAACAAGCTTACCGCACGAGCTTAGACTTGGGTGGTTGTCAAAATTAGGGTCCCTTTTGGGGTCCCTATTATAGTACGGCACCTATTATTTAGGGTACCCCAAAAGGGGCCATAATTTTGACAACTACCCACGTGGCGTTGCTGAGTTTGCGCCAGCTCTGCCTGGAGGTTTATGTATAGTGAGAAGTGGGGTTTAAAGTCCCCTAATATAGGTTATTAGTATGGTTACCCTAATTATAACCCCACTTGTAACTACCCATGAACCTCCAAGTGGCATCATCATTCCAAACCCTTGAATGGAAATGGTCACCAGCGCGCTGGCACGGAGCACATGGTCATCGCAGTTGAGTTTGATTGCTCCGCTATTGCTACGCTTCATTCGTCAACAAGAAGTGCTCATTTCGCAGACGCAGTCTGCACTCCTGGATGGAGTACTGCTCTGGATCCGTGATGTCCGGGTTGATGGCCACCACACCTTCTGCTACCAAGATTGGGACCTTTTTGATGAAGCCGTCGCAGTCTTTGCATGTTGTTGCCCAAACTTCGAAAGCCTGAGTACGAAAATGACCTGGCTCCTCGTAGTAGTCGTCGTCGTAGTAGTGGTAAGAGCAGCTTACAGCAGCAGTAGTAGGAGGAGCAGTAGCAGTTCCAGTAGTAGCCATCGTCAACCACGACGAATGGCAACTGTCACCCCGAAGTTAGCTTGTGACTGCGTTCCTCCCTCTCTTGTCACTGCTGAAAGTCTTGCTCGTACAACGGGACCAGAGGCGACCGCCTGGAGCTTCCTTCGGTGGCAGGCTCCAGCCTGGCAGTTGGCTTCGGAAGCTTGCGAATCTGATCTGGATATTCAGAGGTTGGAGTTCGACAGCTGAGCCTCCGTTCTTAGACTAGAACACTAAGCGATGCCGCGTGACTGCAGCAAAGAGCCGTCTTAGGTCCACCCACAGCCATTCCTCCCAGTCCTACTACTGGTAATGTAGCAATGCCCCTCAACCCCAAACCCCACAAGACACCATGCTGGGCCTTCCATGGAGGTCTCGGGCAGCTCTGGAATGGACTGCTGGAGTTGGTCGCCTTTGGCTGTTCGCAGCGGTAGTGGAGGAGCACAAGGAGGACTGGTAGTGGCAGTGGTACTGAGAATGTGGTAATGTTCATCAATCAAAACACCAGCAATCAGCCATCCAACCACATACCACCAACCGAAACCCCTGAAATATTCAGAAATCGGTATACTGATCATTGTCATCGCACCTTTCCTCAACCTTTACGAGATAGGACAGCAACCTGACAATGCTGAGAGCTGTAAAGCGAGAGAAAACACGCGCTTCACAGAGTCCCTGGACCATCTGCAAGACCTGCTGGGCCTCCTGCCTGCTTCCTCCATGTTCACCTGGCTCGGGGTCGGCAGTTGGGCAGGTGAAGGTCGCAGGCTGAGGCCTTGGATCTTACGGCTTGGAAAGTGGAGACTGTTCTGCTGACGCTAGACGACGGAAGATTTCAGAGATTCTGCTTCTTGTGCATCGATTCACATCTTTCGCCGGAAGCTCAAAGCCTATCGGGAGCTGCAAAAGGCGGCAACTACCCCATGCGCAGAGGGTGACCGCAAGCGGCCTCAGCTCCTTCTGCTTTGAGGTGCGCCACGTTGAGAAGCTCCTCGCTGACCAGCAGCCTCAGCCAACGCAGGTTGGAGACGAGTCTGAAAGCTCTCTGCGCACGTTGGTTTTTCTAAGCTGGGCCAAGAAGCGTCACCAGGGAGCCATCCCCAGCTGCCACGACCATCCTGGGTTGGATTGGGGGCTTCGTGCAGATTGGGGTTGAAACTGCTGATGCGACGGCACACAGAACAAGCTGCTTAGGACCTGCCGGCTTGACTTCCACAGTTTGAAATCTCAGACTTTGCAGCCAGGCGTGGGGGCGGACTTTGCTTTACCCAGCCGGAGCCATATCCGAGGTGTGCGCATGGACTCGTCGTCATTCATCTGAACCGAATTCACCTGGCACATGATATCGCCAACCAAAGAAAGCAGTAAATTAGTCGTCGCTCTGCCATTGTCGTCTTCTTCTTCATGGATACAAAGTCAGAAGTAGAGGGACCTGGAGATTCGAGATCAATGCCGCAAGCCCCACGCCAAAGATCGCACAAGTCCTCGAGAGACATCTCCCCAGTCAAGCGCGGCGAAGCTAAAAATTGGCCTGCACCCTTGTAGATAAGCTCATGAGGCATGCACAGCACACCTGCCACCCCAAACACTAAAGCCTGAACCTGGACGCTAAACCCGCAAACCCGAACCCTACGCCCTGCACCCGAAACCCCAAAGTTGCCACAACGCCCTGAAACACTGAACCCCGAACTCAAAACCACGCCAGCGTCACTGCACCGCTGATGCCGTCCGAGACGTTGGCGCAGAGGAAGCAGCCAGACATGCGTGGCACCAGCCAGACGCGCCTCGGCTAAGCTCAACGTTTCTTAACGGGATTCTAGACGGTACTACAAGCTTCTATAAGGACACGAAACGCCTTAAGTAAACAAGTTTCCCCTTAAGTAAACAAGTTTCCAGCAGGGTGTTGAACAAGAACAAGGAGGAGGATTCGAAGCAGCAGACCAAGAACTAAGAAGAATTGTAAGGCTTGTGGTGTCTTTTGCTGCAGATGTCGAAAGACGCGGGACATTGTTCTTAAAACACACAGCTCAGCCAACAGAGCTCAAGCTACTGAATAGAGGAGGTGGAACGCCCAACACGCTTCGAAGCTCGGGCCGTCGAAAGGGCCCCAGACAATCAAACCTGCTCGTTTTAGGGTTTAGGGTTTTGGTTCCTCCGGTCAGATACAGAACGATCGCTAAATAGTGATTTCGTTACACGCTTCATCGGTCTCCTCTCGTGTTTGAGACGCCTTCGAGAAGCGGCCACCTCAGTTGTTGGGAATTGTAGGTACTGCTTGGAGGTTCATGGGTAGTTATAAGTGGAGCTATAATTAGGGTAACCATAACTAGAACCCATATTAGGGTACTAGTAACCCCACTTACAACTACCCATGAACCTCCAAGTAGTCACCATTAGCCGTCCACAGGTGGGTTCAGTAGCGCAGAGCTAGGGCGAGGAATATTGTGACGGCCGAAACTCACTTCCAACCGCACAAGCACAGGCCAAGAGCGGGACCCATCAGCAAAACCCACGATGATCCAGTTGCCAGCTGGCGAAAGAGACAGGTGCGTCACCTTCAGCCGTGCACAAGACAAGGCCTTCACAAATACTTCTACGAACCCCTGCCGTGAGCTTTCTTCTGCGATGGTCGCAGACACTCTCTAAGACTTTGGGCAGTTTGCAGGATTGCACAGGCAACTAGTGCTCTAGCATTCGGACACGACGGATCTTGCACGTGGTCTTTTGCACACTTGCAGTCATTAGAACAGCTGAGCATCCAAACTTCAGAACCAAATGCACGAACCGCCTGCGAGACCTCTTTGCAGATGTGTCGCATTTATGTTCTTGGGCAGCTTTGACCGCAGCATGCAGGACAGCTGAGTGGATATCCGCTCGGACAGCGGCGCCTTGCAGGGAGCATGCAAGTCGCTCTGTGCACCTAAGACCACTCCATCGTCAAAACGGTGCCAGGGTCACTTAGCCAACCCCGAACACGGTCACTTGGTCAATCGGACACCGTATCATGTTTCAGGTCACTTAGCAAACCCCGTGCGGTCACTTAGCCAACCCTAGGGTTTAGGGTTTAGGGTTGCGGGTTTATGGTTTCCTTTTCGAGTGGTTTTAGGGTTTAGGGTTTCGGGTTTCGGGTTTATGGTTTTGGGTTTAGGGTTTTAGGGTTTTGGGTTTAGGGTTTAGGGTTTAGGGTGTAGGGTTGAGGGTTTAGTTTTTAGGGTTTAGGGTTTAGTGTTTAGGGTTTAGGGTTTAGGCTTTAAGGTTTAGGGTTTAGGGTCTAGGGTTTAGGGTTTAGGGTTGAGGGCTTAGGGTTTTCCTTTTAGGGTTTTAGGGTTTAGGGTTTCGGGTTTCGGGTTTATGGTTTAGGGTTTAGGGTTTTGGGTTTTGGGTTTAGGGTTTAGGGTTTAGGGTGTGTCGATGCTCCGCGCACACCACCACGCGAGACGTGTGTTGTGGTGTGCGCCAAGGTTCAACGCTCTCGCCCTACCCGCCCACCCAGTCTATGACCTTTGTCGGGTTTAAGGTTTTTTTCAAGGTTTGTGGCTTGGTCTGGCGGTGGCCCAAAATCATGGCAAGCAGGGCAGAGGCAGGGCGGGGCAGGGCAGGGCAGGGCAGGCAGGGCAGGGCAGGGCAGGGCAGAGCAGAGCAGGTTTTAGGGTTTAGGGTTTACGGTTTAGGGTTAAGGGTGTGGGGTTTCCTTTTAGGGTTTAGGCTTCAGGGTTTAGGGTTGAGGGCTTAGGGTTTAGGGTTTCCTTTTAGGGTTTAGGGTGTAGGGTTTAGGGTTTAGGGTTTAGGGTTTTAGGTTTTAGGGTTTAGGGTTTCGGGTTCAGGGTTTCGGGCTTATGCTTTCCTTTTAGGGTTTAGGGTTGAGGGTTTAGGGTTTAGGGTTTCCTTTGACGGTTTAAGGTTTAGGGTTCAAGTTTAGGGTTTCCTTTTAGGGTCTAGGGTTTAGGGTCCAGGGTTTAGGGTTTAGGATTTCCTTTCAGGGTTTAGGGTTTAGGGTGTAGGGTTCAGGGTTTTGGGTTTAGGGTTTAGGGCCGTCCCGAGGCTGGCCCAAGCCCGCCGACCTTCCGCCTTAAACCGAAACCCCAAGTCCCGAAGCAGAAACCCTAAACTCTTCCCCCCTGGGAACGTACGTTCGGCATAGGCAAAGGTGGAGTGGCCCAGGGCTGGAATGAGGGCTCGGAGGGTGGGGTTGTGAAGGGTTGAGGGTTTAGGGTTTAGGGTTTCCTTTCAGGGTTTAAGGTTTAGGGTTCAGGGTTTAGGGTTTCCTTTTAGGGTTTAGGGTTTAGGGTCCAGGGAAAAATCCAGGACCCTCGCATGCAGTCCTAAGCCCATGGTTTCCGAAGCAAAATGCCTAGGGGGCCAGCATCATCGATATGCAATGCATGTGCATCTAGTACATAACCTTTGTTGGGCTTCCAACACCTGTGAAAATGAGCGTGCCAAGCGACCAAAACTGGAGCGTGCTAAGCGACCCGAAAAAAAGTTGGCTAAGCGACCCCTGTACCATGGTCAAAACTGGCCTACAGGCCAGCATGGGGGCCTGAAGAAACAGAATTGGGTTCTTGGAGAAATTCCATTATGGTATAAACATATACAGGAGACCATAAAGGATAGCCTCGCCATTTCTTCGACCCCTACATCAGCAACTTCGATGAGCCCCTCCAACCTCGGCAGCCATGGTCTCCTGCAAGGGCTGGGTGCACCAGGGTTTAGGGCTTAGGGTCTTGGAACGTAAAATTTAGGGTTTAGGGCTTGGGATCTAGAGTTTAAGGTTTAGGGTTTAGGGTTGTAAGGGACACTTCGTACCAAGCTCTACACAGAGATCCACTACGGACGAGTATGCAAGATACAATACATGCACCAGCAGCAGCAAAAGTAGACGGCAATAGCTAATGCAGCTAATTGAAGCCTGGAACAATCACCGACTCAACAACAATGATGAGAAAAAAAACGTGATCGTAGTCCGTTATCATACTATTGTGAACACAAGTACTGTCAGTGCACTCGTCAAATTAGCGCTGAGAGACAAAATACAGGACGTCATTTTCTTGGCCGTGGGCACTCCTGGATACCGAAGAGGGAACACTCCCAGAGACCGCCGGAATACTTCCCGGTGCCGGTGAAGATAATCCGCCGCTCCGAGTCATCCCCTTAGCATGCAGGACCCTCGTGTAGCCCGATCAGAACGGGTCTATCGTCTAGTCCAGACACGCTGAACCATCAAGCCCCAAGCAAGAGAATCGTCACAGTCAAGCATTGTAGAGCCAGCCAGCACACATGTGAATCAAGTAAAGCCCCTGAGTATATCCAACCGGCCGAGCTGGCAATGTGGCTCGGGCTCGCACCCTCGCCCGGAATGTAAATCGCTCGCGAGACAGATGTCACGATGACCTGCAACGGTCTGCAGCACACAGCAAAAGTGACAAGCCACCACCGGGGAGTTCAGATCTGGCTTGGGAGCAGAAAGCGCAAAGGCCCAACTCCAGCTTCACGGTCGCGGTTGCCTCCTTCTGCCCCTCGCCGTCCTCGTCGTCATCTTTTGCCTTCTGCTCCTTCTCCTTCCGAGGTTCATCGGTAGTTCTAAGTGGGGATATAAGTAGGGTAGCCATAATGAAAACCCAGATTAGGGGACTTTTTTCCCCAGTTATAACTATCCATGAACCTCCAAGTATGAACACTTCGGAGACTCTAACTCTAACAAGAAGCCGGTCAGACTCAGGAACTTCGCGGGAGCAACGAAGCATGGCACTTTCGGAGTGCCCACTCCCTACTTCGCAACTCAAGTCCCGACCCCGGCTCCTAAATCCTTAAAACACAGCTCGGACCTTCTTCTTTTTCTTCTTCTTTTTCCTGCCCTCCTCGTCCAGATCTGCCTGGCGAAGCGTGCAAGAATTTCACAAAGACTGGCATTGACAAAACCCTCTTGACAGCACGTCCGCTGGAAAACTCTGCTGCTTGCAGTAGGATCTCCCCCATCCAATGCCAACAATTCAAGGAACTCCTCGCATCCCAGCAGGTTCAAACATCCACGAAGATGCGATAAGGCACAAACCAGCCTCACCCTCCGTCTCTGCTGGCTGCTCCTTCAACGACTTGGCAGTTGGAGTTATCATCAGATTACCGTCATCACCATCATCATCATCATCATCATCACAGTTGTCACTAACTGAACAGCTCGCGCATCAGCAACTGTAGGAGCGGTCATCAACAGTGGCAGCTGTTGCTGTTGCAGCAATAGCGACAACTGCAGAACTAGCATAATTATCTTCACCCAAAGCCCTTAGACCGTAGCTCAGCCCTTTGACCGCAGCCTCGGGAACCCGGAAACCTTCCGAAGCCCTGAGCCACATTGGTCCGTTGCTATATAACAGTACTAGTAGGATACATACATGTCATGTATACATGTCTGATTTACCACAATGTCAACAGATCCTACATGGTTGCGCAAGACGGCGCAAGATCAAGCAAGACAGTCGGGATGACTAGACCAACTTCGCAAGGTGCAGAATGCTGCTGAGGTTCGTTGAGGACTTCCATGAGCTCATACCGACTCATACCATGATCCATCAAGTTCAGAAGCTGCATAATACGAAAACCAATTCCAACTGAAATGCCGTGCCCAAAACTCCAACCGGCAAATCCCTAAACCCTATAAGCTGCTAACCCTAAACCCCTGAATCGCTCAACCCTAAACCTAAACCTAAACCCCAAGTCTCGAAACCCCGACTCATCCCTAAACCCCGGGAACCAGGCCTCCGCCGCTGTGGGCGAGGCTTCGCCGTCCCCTTCGCCTTCGACAGCCTCTTCAGCCTCCTCCTGGTGTTTTTGGGATCTGGGGGCCTGGGGCCGGGGGGCGGAGAGCTTTGGGATTAAGAGGTTTTGGTTTAGGCCCTGGGCATTTGGGCTTGGGGAATAAGGCTCTATTGAGATGTCTTGCGTTGTTCATCGCTTTGGGGAAACGTTGCTCGCGACATTGTGGGGCCTCGTGCGCCTACCTACACAGCTGGGACGACGGAAGCCCAAAGCAACTGACCCTCGACAGCAACAGCCAATGTCGGTTTCTGAAAAAGCTTCCCGCACAGTACCAGCGAACCATGTGACATGTGGGAGGAGCCTCGTCCTCTTCGTCGTCAGAACTCAGCCAAGTTGAGCTTTCACACACAGCGCCCGGCCACATACTCTGAGATTGACGCTGCTCGCATGAGAGCGTCTATGCTTTTGGAGCTGGGCGTAGTCGGGTTTCTGCTCACTGAGAGTTAGCAGATGTGGGGCACGAAGGTTCACCATTCGTGCTTTCTCTCGCAGCCCCCTGTGTTCCTGATCCCGGGACCCTCGGAGCATTCCAAAGTTGAACCGAACTAAAAGGCTTGGTCTGAGCGCTGAACTCTTCGATCTCAGGGACATCTGGCATGACGGAGATGTAGTTCACCGAAATGTCGTACCTCGTGCACAAGGTCGCACCGTGGTCCTTGAGGCTGTAGTTAGAATCCGAATCTTGCACTGTAGGTTGTAAAACTTACATCCGATCCACACAGAACCTCAAGTCTAGCATCTTCCCAGCAGAAATCGCCCTCCAGTAGATGTCGCACGACTCCGTGTTGTCGACCGACTCGGGTATCGGACTCTTGAGGACCAGCAGAGATCCTTTGGAGGGCTTCTGGCTCCAAAGTTTGCACATCCGCAAAGTTTATGACTGAGGTTGGGCTGAAGTTTGCCTTGAAGGCTCACAGCCCAAGCCCCCTGTGTCCGGGTGCATGGCTGGCGAACAAGAATCAACGTAGACATGCTGCAGAGAGGCATGTACGTCAGTACGTTGCAGGGTGCAGGCACAGCAGAATCAAGGGAATGTCGGGACTCTGAAAATTGTGCCATCTGAAGAAATAACCATCTGCGAGGTTTGACCAAGCTCCAGGCCGTCCCCCAAGCTAAGCAAGACATTGCCTCTCCATGCCAGCGAGACAGAGATGAGCCGGAGACAGCTACTCCACAAGTTGAACTCCAGCGGCAAGCACAAGTTGTGAAAAAAGATCCATCTCCAAGCCGGAGCACTAAAGTCGACCTCCCCCGGCCTGAGGTGTCATCCCAGGCGAAGAAGTTCACTGTAGCCGGGATCGACACAAATCCCACCGGGATGGCCTGAGTTGAAGGCTTGAAGTTCCTCAGGCTCTGCTGGGAGGCAACATGACATCGTGACTGACATGAACACGAATCACCGATGGGTTCTACGTGTGCTCAATGGGTGTGCGATTCTGTAGTGGCAGGATCCACTCCCAGCTTACATACCCAACTTGCAGCGCCATCCCTCTCTAACCCCAAACCCCGTCATAGACACTGTTCAACAGCCCTAAAACCCTAAACACCTGACGCCAAGACCCAAACACTGAAACCTAGCCGGGCCCAAGGTCGCCACATGCTCCGAGAGCATCTGCACCTGGAAGAAGAACACCGAGTTGTCCTGGGCTGCAAAAGCTCCGGAACGGGGGTTCAGCCCGCCGCAAGCACCGCCGGTATTGTGCTATCCGAATCCAGCTGTCTTGCTACTGCATGGCATTTGGTCGTCCGTCTGCTGCGTTTCCGTTTGATTGCTGCATGCGCATGTATGGGTTAGACACACGCGATTTCAGGCGACTGGGCCTCTCCAAGTGTTGCCATCAAGCCCGCGTCTTCCCCACTGTACCTGGTAGGAGCGTTCTGAAATCTGTCAGGATCACGGGCAAAGCTACGGAAAAACAATCTTGGCATCGGAAACCTTCAACATGTCTCTGCTGTACTCGCTGTTTACAACGCTGGGGAAGACATCTCAGACATCTCACCCAATGACAGCGTAGGCTTCAGCCGGTTCTACTGATACCGGTTACCGTGGAACTGACACTCCAAGCATAAAAGGCGGCTCTGCACAGGCTCCTTCAGGTCGCGCACTTGAGCTGCTTCACCATGCACTTGTGCGGTTTCAATGCCTGCGGGCCACATCATCTCCCTATCGTCCCGAGATCCGCTTTAACCCTGGCCCTGAACTTTTCAATCCCCCGGAGAAGACAATTGAACCCTAAACCTGAGCACCCGCACACCCCGACCGAACCCAACCGACCAAGAACCAAGCCCTCCTCCAAGAAAAACTTAGACCCGAACAGCCTACGGCAATCTCCCCTAACCACATCCTGTGAACACCCCGAAATGCTTGGTCGCTCCGAGAAGTTTTCAATGCGCCTGGAGTTGCAGGAAGCCGTCAGCGCAGGCGGTAAAGGCGCGGATGGTGCCATCCTCGAAGGCTTTCTTACGGGGTGGGCTGTGATACCGTTTCCTTGGCGGCTGCAAACCCCCCTTCTGGGTGGCTCCTCATTTGGTGTTCAAAAGAAGGTTCAACATCAGAGCAAGGGATGACAGCTTTGCGTGCCAACCAGGAGATCCAAGAGCCCAACGGTGTAGCCGACGCAAACGGTCCGCTTGGATGGGTCGACCTTCGTGCCCCCCAGAGCTCTTTGCGCATGACCGCTGTGGTTCTTACTTCGTGGATGTTAGAAATTGTTAGAATAGAAGTGGCCAAAACTGGGCTCCCCGCAAGCTCTGGGGTCGCATCGATGCCTTTTCGAGGTCAGGATTTGTATAAATAACTGTTCACGTGCCACTGGGTGTGTATCTATCCATCTACCTATCTACCTATCTGCCTATCTGCCTGCCTACCTACCTATCTAGACCGACATGTACATACACACATCCATCCATCCCTCCGCCGGTCCGTGCATGCATCCATGCATATATACACATATTGTCTGCTTGTATGTATGTCTGTCTATAAGTATGTATACAGGCATGACATATGTAGGTATATGTCTACAGATAAGTATATTAAAAGTATGTACATGCGTCTGTGTATATACATATTATATATATATATAAATATATATATATATACATATATATATATATATATATATACACATACATATTGTATACACACGTATTTGGCTATTCACCCATGCATTAGTTCTTTCATTCATTCACCAGCCAACCAGCCAGGCAGTAGGTCAGTCAGTCAGCTAGTTGGTTGTCTCTTTGAGTGTTCCTTTGACTGCGCCTTCGCGTGAATTGGCACAGTTGCTCTGTCATGTGCATAAGGGTAGATGCATAGGTACATGCATCTGAACATATGTGTATTCATATGCATAAACACATACATATACTCATCTTATTCTATTAAATGCAAGTTTTATATTAATGTGTATATATGTGTGTATATACATATATATGTGCGTGCTCATCTATCTACTGAGTTGTTAGTTTATGAGCATACTCAAACATACTTGTGAGGCCATCTATGTGTTTGCCTGTTGCCTGCTTACTTAAATCTTGATTTTGTGCTTAAAATACCTATGTTTTCTCTGTCTGTAAAACTGCGTATATATTGTGCACACACACAGCTACCTACATACATTGATGTTTATGTTGGTGTATATGTTGTGCATGTTCAAGCACACGAACCGTGAATATCATCTGCCGCAATCACATATGTACATACATGTACCGACCATTCCCCACACAGAACCCGTGAAATTCCCATGAGCCAAGGTGCAGGTGGCACCGACTCCCGCATTGGCCAAGGGCCGAGCATCTCGAAACCTCAGTCCGCAAGGAGGGTTTCGGGTTTAGGAGCCCTTGCAACGAGAATTGAAACTGATGGAGGATCGGTCATATGACTCGCAATGCGCTGCCAAGCCGGGCTCGATCCACTCTCAGGTGAGAGCAGCTCGTTGTCCCATGCCTGTGAGACGTTGAATGCACGAACCGTGCCATCCATGCCTTAGCTCAGTCAGAGGAAATGCCTTTGCTGGTCAAGCGCTTCGAAACACCACAGTGGAGTCACCGTGGTCACCAATTGCATGCCGCAGCGAACAGTGACACCGAGGGCTTGGCCACATGACATCATCAGCCCACTGTAGCTGGAGGAGACAACCGTTCCCGTCACCTTTGCAGCGCTTCGAGCAGCAACAAATCGCCTTTGCATGGCCAGCACTGGACGCAATTTCAGATTCTAGTGCATGATAGAGCTCCAACAATTGCAAGGTCTTTGAAACTTTACTGCCAATCACGAACTGTGCGAGAAAACTTTGCTACGATGAGAGCTGGCATTGAAACCAATGGCCTGCTTGCTGTGACAGGTGAAGACCATCTGGCAATTTGTGCTTGTGATGTCGTACAACCACACCATGCCGTTGCGCGAATCCTGCACGGAGGCATCCAAGGGCTGACAATGCCCAGCTAGCCGCAGCATCCATCCTTTCTCTTCGTGATTGTATAACTGCTAGCTGCTAGCATCTGCTAGCTATCAATGCTAATAATCAGTGCCAATTGAATCGGCGAAGTCTGGGCACTCCGATGATGCCTGATGGCTTATGTTAAACTTCGTGCTGTCATGCCTGTTCTGCTATATGCACCGGCGTCCTGCACCAACCAAGTCTCCCCATCTGGGCCTGCAGGCTCAGGCAGCACAGACAAGAAGCTTCAAGTTCTGCAAGAGCTTGGGACGTCTCGCTTCTGTTGCGGCTCGTTCCGCTGCTGGGCTCCACGCAGATAGCCACATGCTGGATGTGGGCAGGGTAGATATGCTGCTCGCTGCTCCTTAAGCACAATTCATCTCCTGTTGCGGTTGGAGACGAGCGGGTGCAATGTGTCACGGTCCCCTCTCATTGGCAATGCAGTGTGTGGCAACTTCATCCCAAGTCTTGCGGCTGAGTTGAGAACGGCGGAATGCGCACTTCCTTGCGCATGCGAATTCCGTACCTTGGCGATGGCCCAGCACTGCCCGGCACTGCTCCCACGCTTCCAGAAAGGCCCGAGGCTGAGGATCTGAGGACCGAGGCTCCAGGATGCCATTGTCGTAGTCCGCCTCGGCGCTGTCGATCTCGTCGATGGGCCACCAACGGAGGAAGCCTCGGACGTGTTGCGAAAAACCCAAACCCTTGAACTCTGCCGTGGGGACGCTGGGTGGCCCACCGTCGTCGCCACCGGAGATCACTAGGCCGTTTTCCTTGTCGCTGAGGATGACGTCGATGGCGCCTGCATGAGGACCTGAATTCAGAGAGTGTGTCTCGCTGTCGACATGTGTAGCCACATACCATCCGCAACACATGAAGCCCTCGCACGGACCTGCATGCGACTCCGGAAGGAAAATCAGCATGGGCACAGCGCTGCACTGTCAAGGCCATCAACGTCCCTCGACCTTGGTGCCTGCTTGAACCTCCAGGACTTACCTCCTCCCTTAATTCTCCCCCACCGCAACCTTCCAACTGCACGCCTGAACCTCAACAACCTACCTGCCCTCGGAATTCACACCGATACCTCTCGGGGCGCCAGCTTCCGGCAAGGCTTGTGGCAGCCTCCTGCGCCGAAGTTCCCTCTTTGGCCCGCATCAGCTCTACCTGCCGAAGAGAGGCTTGTTTCCAGGGACCCCAAAGTGACTTGTGACTTCTGCGATGGTGAAGTCTTGATTTCGGGTCATAGGACAACTGACCCGCAACGAGACGTCTGAAGTGATCTACACGCAAATGCCGAAGTCACAACAGGCCTTCCTACCGTTAAGGCTTGCAGGCCTCCTCAAGCAATCGATTGGGTCAGAGGCAGTTCCAGGGCCCGACCAAAACGACAGCAGTACTGCGGAAAGGATTTAGGTTTATGTTTTGCTCTTGGACCTGTATGACGCCCCCAAAGCCTATCTGCGCCAAACAAGATCTTCTCGCTGTTACAGGCTTTGCTTTACGGTTCGGTCCCCTACCTTCCATCCGCCTATGTGAGCGTTGGTTCAGGGCTTAGGCTTGCTGGTATCATCACTGCCAGTAGGCAATCAACATCAGAAGCAGGTTCATCATAAGAAGTTAACATAACTAAGAACATAATGATATGAGAACATAAGAATATAACAGTATGGTATAGCAATACAACATGGCAAGAGTATGATTATATAATAGTATGATAATATGATAACACATAGTACACTATGATGATGAACTTACATACTAACATACTAATGCACTACTATGATACAAAATGTAATAAAGTAGTAATACCATGGAAAACTAACTACCGTCCTGCTCCAAGTGGGTCGGGCCTTGACAAAGACCCCTTCCCAGACCAGCAGCTTTCCATACCTGTGTCATACATAGCGAAGCTATGCGAAGCTTCCCCACAGCTCCAATACATCACATGCCGCCTTAGGATGGGACCCTTTCATCAGGTGTCACATGTCGGAAAGTCTATGTCCACCCTACTTGCGGCGACGGCTCAACGAGAGAGAGGGGTTCACGCTCGGATGCAAGCTGAGGGGGGCACTCTGTGCCCGACACGACTTTGCCATCAGGCAGCTCGACGAAACCACTGATGTCGGAGAGCTCGCTCGCGCCGAACTGCGGCTTGAAGCAGAGAGCCATCTTCACTGAAGCTACTGCTGCTGCAATAGGTGCTCTACGGAGCAATATCGTTGTTGCATTATCCGCATGCATCGTCACGCCTTTCCCAGTGCTCCCTGTAGCTTCAAGCCCGTGAAAGTTGTCGCCATCTTCCAGAACCTCGGCCGCAAGAGCAGACTGTCGCACCACTGAGACCCGTAACGTAGCTAGTCAGTTCGCCTCATCCTCACCGCCAGGCACGTCGGGGCCGGCGGGTAATTTGGCAGAAGAGGAGGACGACTACGACGACGACTACCCACTATCACATGTGAGCATCACAATCATGACGTGACACCCACCACCATCAGCGTTGACAGTCACCCCATTATCATTGTCATTTGCACCACACCAACACCATCAACACCATCGGCAGCAGCAACAACAACATTAACAGAATGGTCGCCGCCAGCAGAAGACTGTACACAGTCGTCATGATCAGCGAGTCAGTTAATTCTATAAATCACAGGAGATGGATGGACGCGATCTGGCAGTGACAGGTGCTGGTCGTTGGCAGCTGTGGCCCCAACCGGATGTGGCCGACGCCCACCGAGGTCAGCATGCCAGGGAACTGACCCCAGCGGATGCTAAACACATCCTGCCCGCATGAGGACAGGCCAATGATTCAAAAGCAACTATCCTTCCCAATGGCCTGACAAGCTTGACAACAGCTGCAGCATCCGGTCCTGACCATAGGCCTTGCACTTGAGGAGGAGCCGTTCGTTGCGCCAGTCCCATACGGAGAGCAAGTAGTCTGGGGCGCATCCTTGGAAAGGTGTTCTTTTGACCGTTTGTCGGATCTGGTCTGGCCGTCCCGGCGATGAACCGACAAAGTGGTGCTTGCTCTTCGTTGCAGCAACCCACGTGGACAGGGCTTCAAGCAAGTGTCACAGGGCTTGTAACTGTTGGTCTTCGGAAACCGTCGAGACTCGAGGCGCGGTCAAGATACAGGCAACACACTGCGCAGGAAAGCTAGATAAAGCTAGGCTTTACAAAGAGTGGACGTCGAGCACCACCATGCGAGTCAAGCTATCTGCAAAGTGAGGGCCAGGCCAAGCGCTGCCAAGTGGTTCTGGCCATCGTCAGGAGATTGCTTGTGTGACTGTGCTGTGCCATGTCTCCGCAGAGGCGGACCACGAACCGGCAAGTTGGATCGCTCCGTGACTCAAGCCGATCTTGACGGCAACAGAAGCACTGACCAACACCCTGCCTTGTTGTGAGGGGAGAACGCCACTGAGGCGTAGCCCCGCATCGTGCCCTTTCGCAAAATGCGGTACAGCCTGCCGAGCAGAAAGCATGCGGACTGGAAAAGGAAGCAGCCTGCAACCCCCAACTCGCGCCGAATCGCATAGGCGCAAAATTTTGCTCTCAGCCGTCGTCCAGTGAGTCGGCTTTGTCGGCACTTTCAGCATCCTGAGCTTCCGAAGTGGAGCACAGTGCATCAGTCCGTTCAATGCCACGCAAGCACGTTTTCATCATTTTGAGCTCTTCCTCTTCCTAGCTACAACCACATGCTCTGCTAGAGAGCTAAGGCCTCTCTGCGACACTTGCGCAGCAGCTGAAGCCGCAGAGCAAGTCAGGTGAAGTTTGGATGCCCTTGCCCTGAGGCCCCAGTAGCAGTAGCTTCGACAGGCTACTGCTGGAAAGATGCCTTTGTTTTTCATCCGCGACTCTTCGTACTTTCTTCTTTGTTTGCTTGGTGTAATACATTCTTCCTGCCCCACCTACTCCTCCCAACATCTCTGTCGCTTCTGCCCTTCATGCACGGACTTGTCCCAAGTTCCTTCTTCATATTGCTCCGACTCCTGCTTTGATGCTGCCAGCTTCCTCGATTTACTTCCACCTTCTTCTGCACATCTTCATCCCTTACAGAAACCCCTTAACCCAAACAAACCCCTACAGTAAAACCATTATAGAAACCCTTACACCCCACAGAAACCCTAAACCTCAAACCCTCTTCTAAACCCTAAACCCTAAAACCCTAAAAGCCTAAAACCCTAAAAGCCTAAAACCCTAAAAGCCTAAAACCTCAAAAACGCCTAAAACCTCAAAAACGCCTAAAACCCCCAAAACGCCTAAAACCCTAAAACCCTAAAAACCCTAAAAGCCTAAAAACCCTAAAACCCCAAAAACGCCTAAAACCCTAAAAACCCCAAAACGCCTAAAACCCTGAAAACCCTAAAAACCCAAAGTCCCCTGCCGGGCCACCGAGGCCGCAGAGGACACCGAGGCGCGCTTCCCTCGCTGGGCGTCGCCCGCCTCGTCTTGCCTCGCGGATTTCTGGGCCATGAGGAGTTTAGGGGTTTAGGGTTTAGGGGTTTGGGGATTTCTGGGCCATGAGGAGTTTAGGGGTTTAGGGGTTTGAAGCAGGAACTGGATTAGTGAGTGTCCAACCACACAAACGAGCACACTTTTTGGTCTGAGCCCAAGACGTCTGTCGTACAGGGTGCGTTCAGAACTAACACAAAAACTACGCTCGCATGAGGACATGTCAACACGGCGCTTCAAGACAGGGAAATTTCACACCCGTCTTATCTGTAGTGTGACGTCCGAATCATGCTCGAATTTGATCGCTTTGGATCAAACCTACTTCACCGGATTATACCGGGAGCTTGCGCAGTCAACCGAGCCGAGTGCGGCGACTCAAGGCTCTAGGCTGAGTTCTTCAATCGCGAAGCGGAGTGCTTTCGGTACTCTCGGTATTCTGTGCGGCTTGCGCGGGCACATCGAGTACCTGAACGAGATTGCGATCAATGCTGTGATTGATCAAAAGCGGTTTCATACTCTTAGTGAGACAATCCGCAAGTTGTAAATGCGTCGGTATCCATCTCAACTCATCGCCACAGGGATGGTATAGGACGTGCGTTAGCTCGTCCTCTTCCCAAAGTCCTTGGCGGAGTCCAGACATCTCAATGGCAAGGCGTTTATCCTCGCAGGACTTTGGAATCGACGCTGTCAAGTGATCCGAAAGGGACCTGCAGTCCGTATACTGCAGGTGGAACATCGATCTCTTGGCGACTTCTTCCCAGTTCTGTGACCGGGGCAGTTTGCCGAGTACTTCGAGTACTGCTGCTCGAATGCGGTCTCCATGCTCTATGGCATGTTGCAACGAGTAAGCCTCACACTGCAGTGTGGCGCGACAAACCCGTTTCATGGTGGACGAGGAGAACGAAATGAGGTGCATCTCATGCGTTGGCGCGTTCTTGTCCACCGCCGACTGTGCGGAAGTGAGATAGTGGAAACGGCCTCTCTGCGACTTATGGTTCGCCTCTCCTGCAAAGGAGGCGTCGCAAAACGTGACGACCGCCAGCTCCCCTGTATTCCAGGGTAACTTAGCGCTGTACGTGATCGGCCTATCCGCATCTCCTAACGCCAGTGCTACTACGCGGTTTGCTTCACGGAGCGTATCCACCGTGGCTGTCGTAACACGCTGCTGCAGGGCATTCACCCTATAGGCAAGATCAGGTCTCGTGGCGCGGGCCACCCAAGCCAGCGATCCTATGACGGATCTCAGCGCTGTGCGCTGGCCATTCGAGACTGGAGTCGTGCCCTTTTCAGATTTATGTATATCGATCGGGCGAATTGCACGCGTGTTGTCCCTACAGTTTATACTGATGGTCCCATCGGCGCTTTGCACATACTCGCGTCCGCAGAAACGGAACTTCTCAGTCTCTATGCGACCGATCTTAAACTTATCCAGCAGATTCTGGATAGCCGGCTCGCCTTCGGCGGTAGCAGCCCACAGGAAATCATCCACGTGGGTGCACAAGCAAGCGCACAAACGACCACCTTCTCCTGTAATATAGTACAGGGCTGACAGAATTTGCGAGGCATTTAAGCCAAATTCTCGGCAACTCTCCTTTATACGGAGGTAAAGGTTCCGACCCGCGTCGGTGGTGCCGTACACGGGTACTCGGGCAATCATATACCCGGCTCGCTGAATCTCTGCATCGGGCACACCCTTAGGGTGTTTGGGAACCCGAAGAATGAGGAGGCGCTCAAGGGGTTTCCCTTGGAAGTATGCGTTCGTTATATCGGCTGCTTTGAGCCGCAGGGCCAACGAAACCGCCCATGAACACAGAAGGGCTATACCTTCCGGCTCGGCCGTGGGGCTGTCTGCCCTGATATCCTCCTCATTCGAGATATGCTCGAAGTTTCCACATGCGACCAAGCGTGCTTTCCACTTGGGAGTGTATGCTGCTGTCCCCTTTAGGTGTTCATTCTTATCGGTAAGAACCCATTTGGTGGGGATACACACGTGGCCAGCCTTTGTAAGCTCCTTAAACTCCTTGTCTGTGCAAGGGACCACTGCGTTGAATTCAGTGTACTTCTGCCATTCAGTCTTCATGGCAGCATCCAGCCCCAGCTGTACTTCTACAGGGGCCTTATGGTAATCCAGGAGCGAGGCCATGTAGCCAACATCGACATTAGAGCCGAAGGCGTCTTCCCCATCAGGGGTGAGAGCAAAGGCCTTGGATTCCGCCTCTCGACTATCCGAGGGCTCAACTGCTGGCACTGTCGTGCCAATCGCAGCTGTGTGCGATGCTGCTGCCAGTCCGTCGTCTTCCTCAGGAATGTAGTGACACGGATGGGCTTCTGGCAGTCCGTTAGCACGTATGTGCTCCGCAAGTTTCGAATGCTCGAGCCATATGTGCTGGGCGATATTTCGCCGATGGCATCGCCGCCAACTGGCCTCCGAACACAACAGAAGTATTCGGTGAAAGTCATCGTGAGCCTCGCTAACTATTCTAGCGATCGTACAGAGCCCTTGGTCTGTTTGCAGGTTGGCTTCAATCCCGCCCCGATTCCTGTTGCCTAACTCGGGGGCGTGACTGTACACAACCCCTTTTGCAAAGCATGTGGCAGAAAGCTCATCACAATTGTATTGTGGATGCCGAACGCTGTACGGGTGGCTTCTGCAATCTACGATTTCCTTAATCCCGTACTCGTGGATGCGCTCTAGGAACGTCTCGATAGGAAGATCAGAGTGACCCATGGTGTATATCCCATCGCCTTTCCTGCCAAAGGTGTTGGGCGCATCCCTATATATGGGGTAGCCTAGATCCGACAAAAGCTGTATGTCATCCTTAGACAACTTACCGAGGTCACTCACCGTGTATGCGGAGAGACTGTATCTTTCTCCTACAAACGGTGCGACCATATGCACGTCCTTCGGGCGAAACTTAAGAACCTTGTTCTTAGTATCATGGACGGTGCCATACATTGTCGTGTTTTGAATACGCACGGGAGTTGTACCCGTGGCTTCTTCCACCCATAGGCCGCCTCCACGATACTCGCCCACACCTATAGTGTAGTTATACGAGCCAGGAGTGTTCGCTAGGTCTCTATGGGCCTCTGCGCCTCTGTTGGTAAGCTGAACGCTACTCCACTGTGGAAGGTGGTGGCCGGCTTGCATACTGTGATGCAAGAGGTAGTGGTTGAGGTACATGGCGAACGACGGTCTCTCGCGCGTTGGTCCAGAGACACCAACAAGACCACCGTGCCGATATACTCCCACCGCGAGGGCTATGCTCCCGGGATCTCCATCGTCTAGGAGCGGGCGCGTGTACGCCTCGCGTCGGTCGCGGTCATAAGCGCGAAGGAGGGCCAGACACTCATCTGGAGAAAAACCCTGAGCATCTATCAGGCCTTTTGCCATGATCTCAACTTGATCAAGCTCTTCCGCAACTAGTGCGTCATCACGGCCTCCTACTGGCGATCGCGACCGGGCGGTTTCGCCCGTCTTATCTTTGGCGCGAAACCTTGCAGGGGTAGATGGCGCTGGCATCGGTGTGCCGGGCATCATCGCTGGCGTCGATGGTGCTGGCATAGGCACATCGTGCGCGACTGCCGGTGTAAGCGGGGCAGCTGCAGCCACTGGACGTGGCGTCGCTGGTGCTGTGACCGGATCCGCTACGCGCTCATCCTGGAACCTTTGTTCCGGCCCATGTACGATGGCTTCCGGAAGCACTGGTTCACCTGCCAAAACGCGGTGCGCTGCAACTTCGATTTCATCAGCTGGGCGCATCTTCCTAGCGTTCACAAGTACAGGGATATTCTCGTGTAATACCCAGTACGCATTCTCTGCCTCACGTCCTATGACGCAGCTAACCGTGGACCATACGACTCCTGGGCTGCCAGGGACGTTGTCCCGACGGTAGATAACTAAATCACCAACCTTATAATCAGTGTCTAGAGGGGCTGCGTTACGCTGTAACGCTTTGGCCACTTTGCGGGAAGTCTCTAAATGAACAAAGGCCTTTTTGGCTTCTTGCCGTGC